GAAAGAGGCACTATCTGTATCTCCTCTAACCCAAAAACTAGGTCACAGTTTCTGGTTAATTTTACCCAACAACATAAAAAAATTAATCCCTGCTTAGCGAAAGAAAACTGATTCAGGCATTTGTTGCTCTGTGAGGTTTTAGAGCTGCTCTGCATGGTGCAGGATTTCTGAATGGTTTGAGGATTATAACCTAGAAAGCTTGAAACAGAATGTCTCTCTGGAAGAAAGACGGTACTGCCTGTGTAAATCCTGCCGCCTGTGTCATGGCAACCACAAACAGGCTTAAACTGGAAGGCCACGGGACATACGTTCAGTTTTCTTGAAGAAGTTCTGATGTGTATCCAGGAGGCTTTGTCAATTCCGTTGGCTCGCACCAAAGCAACCTCTAGGTAAATTGTTGATGTATTCAAGCAAAATGGCGGTCAATCCTCCTGCACACATGATGCTAATCACATAGCCAACCCTTGTTCTTCTGAATTGTTGGAGATTTTTGATGAGCATGGGCTCTGTGATTGGAATGTGTCATGATGGGTATTAGTGCTAGCCCAAGATGCAGAAACACACACGGAGAAACTGGGTAAAAGTCCAAAAGAGTTTATTGTGGCACAAACATGAGTAATGGGAAGGGAACAGTTCAGGCAGGAGGCTGATTCACTAACAGTTCAGGCAGGAGGCTGATTCACTGGGGTCTGTGCAGGGAACGGGGAATGGCTGCATAACTGAGATCATGAGGGGCTAAGCCTCTAGCTGTAAGCTTAGCTAGGCTAGCTAGGATCTGAGCTTCCAGCTCGACGCAGAGAACAACAGGGGATAATCCACATGGGAACCTCTGGGGAAAGAGGTCATCAGGCTTCATCCACGTTAGTTCTCCTTTGAGCTTCAGGCTTGAAACACGTCTCCAGTGATGCAACTCTCCCAGAGCTGCAGGCCAGAGACAGGTTGCCAGAGAGACAGCTCTTCCAGAGCTTCACGAAGAGACAGGAGGTGGAGCTCATCCAGAGCTTCACGAGGAGACAGGAGGTTAAGCTCATCCAGAGCTTTCACGAAGAGAAAGGAGATTAAGCTCATCCAGAGCTTTCACGAAGAGACAGGATTCCTGTGAGACAGAGACAAGGAAGAATTAGAATCTGATCTCACACTAGAGATAACAAGATTCTTCAGTAGCTGAGGCTCAGGAAGCTAACCAACTAAGATCAACACTGCGGCGTGGAATCCAGGTCTGAAGGTAGCTTAAATACTGAGGTCCTCCTGATGAGTAGATCAGCCACAGGTGTGTGAGAGGCTCAGCTCAGGAGGACCCACGGCGCACTCTGCTGGAGGCAGAGGGTAATCTCCAGAACCTGACAGTGACTCCAGCCCTAAGAGAAAGAGACAAAAAGAGCAGAAGAGGATCCTCGGCGCCCTCTGGTGGGCAAGCCTGAGGATCCCAACAGAATGAATGTGTTTTCATGTGTTTCAATGTGTTTTCTCAGCTCAAAGTGCTTTATAGTTGTAATGTAGATTTTTTAAAATGATAAAATTTTGCAGTGATAAACTGCATGCACATTTCATCCATGTATGATTAACCTATCAAAAAATAGCGGACAGGTTTGGAAGAACATTGTAAAAAATTGCAAAGCATGGTAAGGTTATACATTTTTCTTCATGTTAAACGTCTCGAAGAGAACTTTTCAGTGCATTGACCAGAAATATAAACAATATAGAATAACTGCTGCTGACAGGCTGAGCTAAGAAAGCATTAATCAGAGGAGCAGCCAAGTAAACCACGGTGACACTGAATTAGCTGCAGAGATCCACAGCCCACATGCAGGAATCTGGTCACAGGACAAGTATTACTTATCCTCTCTGCAAGTTTGTCCTTTATGGAAACGTGGCAAGAATAAGTAAGGAAGAGCCCATTTTCCCAATTTTAACACATTGAAAGGACACATATAAAGATAGAAACTTCTCTGCAGTTTAGAGGCTCGGTTCCAACTCTGAAAGGACTTGGATCTGTTTTCACTGGCCAGTCTCTCAGGTATTTGTCATTCGCCAAGAAGAGAACTAGAGGCCATGCCCAGGACATTAAAGGTACATGTAGATCTGATCACCACCCACATGGATGTGTATGTGGGCTTCTTTCATTTAAAGGATGATCAGGCGTGTTTCTTGCAGCCTTATCTCTGCTTCCCTCTCTAAAACACACAGTGGAGGCAGCAGGTGGGATTACACCTCTTTCTACCACGTGTCTTGCTAAACTGAGCCTTTGATCTTGACCAAACTCCAATGCAACTTTTTGCCTTTAGAAGTCCCATAATTAGCAAACAGAATCCATCTGAGTGTAAATTTGATCTCTCCATACAGGCATTTGTTAGGTGACGGCCGTTTGTTAGAGAAGAGAACAAATCTCTTTATGAAGACCCAGAACAAAAGCAGATATTTAAGGATGTGTGTTATTAAGCAGAATCTCTCATTTTTGGACTCCTCATGAATTTCCCCTCTAAAAATGGGAATACAATTGGACCTCAGAAATGACTTTTCAGATAAAGAACAGCAATATTCAGAAATACAACCAAGAGACTCGTTTTAAACCTGGAAAAAACTACAGAGATGAGTAATGCTGAATTTATTTACCTGAAAAAGTTCAGTTTAGAATAGAGTTGAAAATCCCGTTATTGTTCCATAATGGGAAAATTCTGGTGTTTACAATAGAAAAAAATATAGAAAAAAAAGGCAACTGAACGGGAAGTTTTCTAGAACACATTTCGCCTCTCATCCAAGAGGATTCCTCATTTCTGACTAGTTTTGTCTAGAGTAACTAGACAAAAAGGTGTCTCAGACCCCCCCCCCCCCCCCCCCCCACTGCCCCTTTGTTACACCTACAGTATATTAATCTCAGTGCTCCCCACCACTAGTTAGAACTGAGGAAGCCTATTGGATGAGAGGCGAAACGTCTTCTAGAAAACTTTACATCCAGTTGCCCAAACTTAACTTTTTCAGGCTTGACTATAAAACGGATGACTGAGAATCTTCTCAGATATGCCGAATTTAGTGATATGTGTCAAACTTAAACATGTGACAGAAGATTACTTGGTCAGATGAGGGCAAAGCAAAACTTTTAGGCCCTTATGCAAACTCTGTTGGGGAAAGCCAACATTACACAATACTAACGCTCCACAGTGAAGCATGGAGGTGGTAATATCATGCCCTGGGTCAAAGGTTAATAGAAAATGCATGGAAAAAATACAAAGCAGTGCTAAATGTGGAAGAAAAAATGGAGGTCCGTGCACAGATACATCTTCCAGCAGAACAATGGCTCTACGTTAGCATTCATGTGTTCGTACGGTTAAAGGTTCAGATCTTCATCAAATAATCCTCACTGATGCTCTCTGTTCATCTCATTAAGATTCAGCTGTTTGTATAGAGAGAACGTTCACTCTCTAGATGTTCAATTTTTCTAAATTAGGTGCATTTTCTCCTGAATTGAGGAGGTAAGTGTGACGTTTTGCCAATGGAATAAGACAATTACATTTAAAATAAGAAAAAAAACCAACTGCTGTCTCTTATATCAAGTGCATAATATCTAATTATCTTATTCTAAGGCTAAACATACTAATTCCATTGGCAGATCATCTTATTTAACCTCTCAAATTAAGGGTAAAGTCACTATTTTTTAAATAATTTTAAGATCATTTTTGCAGTGTTCAACAGTGGCATATGCTGTATTTTATTTAAAGTTTGACAAACAAAATACTAAAGAGCTAAAAGGAAACAGTTTAAGAACCTCTAGTTTTGTTTGCTAAATCAATATAAATCTCAATGAAACACTGGTTTCTGTCTGAATAAAGATAAATAGTGTAAACATTATTGTACCTAACTTTAAACTGTGTTTTCTTATTTTCTACTCAGGTTTGTTATTTTATGTAAACGGGAACTTTCATAAGGGATGCTGGTGAAGGTTCTCAGTCATCCAGGTCATAGTCATTCCCAAAAAAAAAAAAAAGAAGATTAAAAACAAACCATTGGAGTTTCTTCCCATCCAAGAAGCTTTTTTGATTCAAAATGTGACAAATTTTGAAATAAAAAAGCTTCCATGATGGGAAGCGAAACATCTTCAAATTTGGTAACATAGTCCAGTGGATTGTTTTTCATTTTCTTTTTTTGGAATTTCGTAAGGGACTTTTAAGGAGCTTATCATGCTCTGCAGAGAAGACAGGACAGCAGTTGTTCCTTCTTACTCTTCTTACATGATGGCATAGAGGTAACTTATAATGGTTGTTTTGAAGATGAGCCAAAAAATAGCTTTTTTTCTGCAGTTCCTAAACATTTTTCTACATCTCTGATCACACTTGACTTTTTGGTTTAGTCTAGTGATCTGTGCTTCAAAGAAATGAGCTACTGTTTGTCTGTTTCAAATAGCATCTGCTGTTTCCACAGGGTGACTGAATATTATGATTTCTATTTGACTATATAATAAAAAAATATTTTTAATGGATGAAATCATTGCAACAGAGGTGATTTTTTTATGTATCTGCATGAAGTAATACTGCGGGGACAAAACAATTAAAGCATCTACCAAAGCAAAAGAAGTCTTGCTATTGGAATGTTGTGGGTTTAAATCCAGTCTCCTCCTATCACATGTGCCCCTGGGCAAGGCACTTAACCTGAATGTCTGGTTGCAAATGCAGCTCTATTAATTTTTTGAGAAACCTGTTGCAGATGTGGGACTAAGCTTTGCTCTAACATTTCGAGGAGCGTATTTAAATAAAAAAATAATGAATTAATAAATAGAGTTTTAAGGATCGTTGATTTAACTTTCTAGATGAGTTGCATCCTGGAGTGGAACCTGCGCACGGTTCCTTAAACCCAACAGTGCGCTTTTTCCCGTTAGGTCCAAATCTCTCGCCCCACCCATCAGTGAACAAGTTTTGTCACGGGGCAAAAAAGAAAAAAAGAAAAAGTTCCTTTCATATTTTCTTTTGTCCTCCTCCTCCTCCCTGTTAGCCCTCCTCCCTCCCTCCTCAGCATCAAGTGCCGCCTGAGCGCAGCGTCCCGGCTGCGTCTTTCCTCTCAGACTCTCCAGAGGAGCCATGAGGAGCAGGGAGTCTTGGCCCTGCTGATGACAGCACGTCAGTGGGATGGAGTGACAGCCGTTTGTTTGCCACCAGGATCACGTTCGTTTATATCTGAGGAAAACAAACAATACCCTGCGGATTTGACATAATCCATCAATCGGATGCGAGCAGGTAGAGACGCCTGTCTGCTGCTTTTTTACTGATATATACATATAACAAAAAAAAAAAAAAAAAAAAAAAAAAAGATTAATAAGGTTTACAAACAATCTTTTAGTTTTAATTAGACTGGAATTATTTGGATTTTTATTGCACTAAAAGTTGTACTTATATAAAATTCTCATAATCTGCTGCTTTTGTGGAGTTAAATCGCGAATTATTTTAGATTATACTGGTTAATTGTAAGTTAATTTTGTTGACATACATTTAAAAAGTGCAAAAAATATTATATGTTTTTATATATAATTATATATCTTTTTGAATTATTTAATTCAGATTAGTCACTGGACCAACACACATTTTATAAAATTGAGATTAAGTTTATTCTTCTACTTCTATGTCTTATTTAGATTAAAAGTAAAAAAAAAAAAAAAAGTTAAAAAAGGAGAAAAAAAGAGTAAAAATTGATTTATCACCCTTTTTACCAAAGAGGAGTGTGAGCTGAACAAAGGAGCTGGAAGATTGAGCCTTAGAGCGCCACCTCTTTGCCATTTCGCTTCTGACATTTGGCTTCCACCAAAGGATGAAGAGGGCACAGCCTCATCATCCTCTTTAGCTGACTGCAGTGGAAAACTGTTCTGTTAAAATCAGCGCCTTCGAAGACCAAAAAGCCTTCATGGCAGCGTATCAGTTTCCACTCCAAGCTGATTAATAGCATGTCTGTTTCTTTGGCTTTTGTGTTCAGTCTGAGTCTGGCCGCAGGAGTGTGACGCTGAGCAGAGAGCAGAAAGGAAAGGTCATTTTTGCTCTTTCATTTATTGAAAGTGTTTTACAGCTCTTTGTGGCCATGTATTTTATTACCCGTCTGTTGTATGCTGGTTAGATTTGAGCCGCTGGCTGTGTTTTTAATAGGAGCCTGTGGGGGTGTACTCAGGCCTCAAAAATGTCCCCATTGCAGACGCAGTCAGTTTCCGTTGTTAGTTGCTGCAGAATAGGCATTAAAATAATAATAAAAAAGAATGAAATCTTTTAAAAAGGACAGCTTAAGTATATCTTGGATTTTTGCAGTTGGTTGGAGCTGGTGTGAGCTGTTTGGCTGCTCAGGGCCAGCATGCTGGTCTGGTGGGCCTCAGGATAACTTTAATGGATACAGGAGTGGTTTGCAGATGTTCACACAAAAACCTAAAAAAAAAAAAACACTGAAAACATATATAACAAAAGTAACATTTGCATGCTGATTAACCGATTTGATCAAACTAGGTCACATGGGTCATCAGATGTGTGTAGATCTGCAGGCTGTGATGAACATAATGAGGAAATCCTCCTGGGAGCTTTAATTTTAAAAACACACAAGCCTCTAATAGAAATATTTGTACACTTCCATGTTTGCCCCTTAATTGTTTGTCTTAAACTGATTTGTTGCACAGATTTTGGAGTTTGGCTTTTAATTTGACCATAAACTGTGAACTAAAGCTATAAATCCTCCTCCAAATTTTCTTTTCCACTGTTTGAAATCACCAGAATGACTTCACTACCGCAGCAATGCGGCTTCTTTTCATTTCTGCTACTTTCTACTTTAGTGATCGCCTGTTGAATCTATTACAACACACCCAAGATGATACACCTATGTGGATTCAGGGAGAGGTTAACGAGGCAGACGCCATCGGTCTCTGTGTTGGATGGAGGAGCATTGTGGAGCTCAGGAAACCAGATATGGTTATTACTGGAGGAGAAGGTTAACCATTGTGGCAAACCTCCAAGCCAATGTCTCAGCCCGTTTACAGACTCCAACTTCTCTTCACTGCCTTCAGCTTTTGACTCAAAGAGCAGAAATCTTCTTTCAACCACAGATCCCATGCATCAGCTCTGCAGTTAAGCTGTAGAAGCTCAAGGAAATATAAAACTAAACACCACTGACTAATATAAATGAAAGCACCAACTACCTCAGATAGCTTTAACACATTCAAGTGTGACACACACCCCTGACCTAATGTCTTCTTTGAACCTTGGAGCTGCGCTGCCTCCTTGTGGCTAAAAGCGGAATTAGCTGCATTTTTATTATTTGTAATTTTTTGCAAGCCAGGCCAAAATATTTTATTCTTAACATGTGTTTCTGTTAGGTTTTCAGATATGTTAACCCAACAGATAACTTCCAACCATCTTGATCTAGCAGATCCCACATTGTTTATGTAATGTTCATTTACTGTCTGAAAAGATGTACTAACTGAATATTTCATTTTGTATACATTCTGTGTATACCAGGTGACAATAAAAGTTGTCTAAGGCTAGAAATCTAGAGTATTTGCTCCTTAATGCTGAAGTTTATAGCTAGCATTATGGAGATAGTGGTGAGGTTAAAAAATGTAAAACCCTTTATTGTCCCACAATGGGGAAATTCACTCTCTGCATTTGACCCATCCCTTTGGGATGCAGTGAGCCGCCATTAAGTGGCGCCCGCAAAGCAGTGTGGGGTTAAGTGTCTTGCTTAGGAACTCAGAGTGCAGGCTGTGGGGATCAAACCGGGTACTTGCAACCTTTTTAGACGCCCAGGCGCACTGCTCTAACCACTAGGCCAACACTCCCAGCTCAGGAACAAAATTTACCATAAAGTGTCAGAACAATTTATAGAGGACAGCTTAGCTAAGCATAAATCTGTTGTTTGGTTTGCAGCGGGTGGTTATTAACAGCAGAGATGGGAAGTAACGAAGTACAAATACTTCGTTACTGTACTCAAGTAGATTTTTCTGATATTTTTACTTTACTTTACTACTTATTTTTATGGCGACTTTTTACTTCTACTCCTTACATTTTTACACAAATATCTGTACTTTCTACTCCTTACATTTTAAAAAATTGGCTCGTTACTTTAGTTTTGAATCATTTCAATGGAGTTACCGTTATTATTTTTCACGTCATCAATACCAAATTCAATCTAATTGGATGGGAATCTACGTTGCATTTGACGCACCACTACAAGATGAATCGACAGATTCGGCGGTATTCATTGGCGGCAAATCATTGCAGCTTGGTGGCGGTGGCGTTAGCATAGTAGCATGGACGACGAGATGATTGAAAATGAACACAACAGAGATCTAGTCCTATTGGCAGACATCCATTTAAAATGTAGGCAACGGCATGAAAAAAGTGGTTTCTACTTTTACTTTTATACTTTAAGTAAATTTACAAGCCTGTACTTTGTTACTTTTACTTGAGTAAAGAAGTTTAATCAGTACTTCCACTTTTACCAGAGTATTTTTTAACACAAGTATCTGTACTTTTACTCAAGTACGGAAAGTGAGTACTTTTGCCATCTCTGATTAACAGTGATGATTGTTTATTCTGGAAATTGAGGCTGGAAGCTGTGCTCGAGCAACAATCGACCTTAGTGAAAGATTCTGAGAACTGAATACTTAAACATTTCTGAATTCATAAAAAAACCCCAAAGAAAATCCAGATTAAGTTGGGATTAAAAGGTACCATTGTATTAAAATGCCTTTATCATAATATTTTCAAAAATGTTGCTTTTTAAGATTCAGCTATTCTGTCTGCAGATACTTTATCTCAGTGAGTTTCACACAGGAGGGTCATTAGTGCCACTCTGCTTGTGTAAATATTAATCACCTTCAATTTAAATTTCAAACAAAAGTAAATGTAACAATTTAAAGGGTTATGATTTGAAAAAGGTTGGCATTTTTAAGATGGCAGAAGTCCCCTTACTTGGTCCAACCAGAACCAGTCGTTAGTTTTAGGCTCTGAATTTGATCCATGTAAATTTTTATGAGATAAAAGGTCTTTTAAATCCACACAGAATATTATTTGGTTCTATCTTTTTAACGAAACCTTGCATCAAAACTTATAATCTACTCCTCTTATCTCCTATGCTGAAGCTCCCAGATGCTTCAATCTTCAAAGTAAAAGCAATCTATTTAAAATTTGTCTCCAGAAGTTCCCTATAACACATTTAGATAGGTATAATATTGTTTTTGAAACTTTGAAATGAACTGTGGCACAAAAGTTTCTTCTTGTTGGTAACTGTGACTGTAAAAAAAGAGTGAAATCTATTTAAAACAAGCCTAATTAATGTCTCTATTTTTGATTTTCTACCTTTTTAGAGCCTGACCCGACTTAACCATGGGCCCCATACCACTTTGCATCCTTCTCCCAGTGACGGTGCTGACTGTGGTGGTGGCTGGAGCTGTTGAGGAGAACACGATTGATGACAAGTACACCTGGCCACAATGGAAGGTTCCCCTGGTAAAGAAAAGACGCACTGTGCCCCTCAGCAGCCCAAACTTCTCAGCCCATCCTCAACTGGAGCTGAATGGTACCTGCGGGATCGAGTGCCAGCGTCACCTTCCCACACCTTCCCTGAACGATTTGGAGCAGTTCCTGTCCTACGAGACGGTCTTTGAGAACGGAACACGCACGTACACCTCGGTTTCAGTGCAAGGCCTCAACGAAATGACCTTTTGGTCAAGAAACACCTCTTCCCGTCACAAACGAGAAGTGTATGGCACAGATACTCGCTTCACCATTGCTGACAAGCAGTACTCCACCAAATATCCCTTCTCCACCTCGGTGAAAATCTCTACTGGGTGCTCTGGGGTTCTGGTGTCACCCAAACATGTTTTGACAGCTGCACACTGCATCCACGATGGAAAGGATTATCTAGACGGAGCTCGGAAGCTACGTGTCGGCATTCTGAAGGAGAAGAGCAGAAGAGGGAGAGGAAGAGGAGGGAGGGCAAAGGGGAAAAGAAGAAAAGGGGACAAAGGTAAAGAGGAAACACTGGAAAAGGGGGAGAAAGGGGAACGCAAAGGAAGAGGAAAAGGGAAGAAGAGCCGGAGTCGTCGAAGCGTTGACTCTGGGAAACCTTCATTCAAATGGACCAGGGTCAAACAGACCCAGATCCCAAAGGGCTGGTTTAAAGGTGTCTCAAAAGGACTGACTGCAGATTTTGACTACGCTGTTCTGGAGCTGAAGAGAGCCCCGAAAGTAAATTACATGGATTTGGGCGTTATCCCCTCTATCAAGAAGCTCCCTGCTGGTAGGATCCACTTCTCTGGCTTTGACGATGACCGACCTGGTAACTTAGTGTACCGGTTCTGCTCCGTCTATGAGGAATCCAATGACTTGTTGTATCAGCACTGCGACGCCAAACCCGGCTCAAGCGGCTCAGGAGTTTACATCCGCCTCAAAGAGCCGGGCCAAAAGAAGTGGAAGAGGAAGATCATCGGGGTTTTCTCCGGTCACCAGTGGGTGGACGTTAATGGGGACGGGAGGCAGCAGGATTACAACGTGGCCGTGAGGATAACGCCCCTCAAGTACGCTCAGATCTGCTACTGGGTCCATGGGGACTCAAGCGAGTGCCAAGTAGCCTAAAACATAAAACTCCCGCTATTCCGCTTTCATACCCACCGTATCTCACCCTAGTTCTGCCTAACAGACCTCCCCTACCTTCACCCATCATGTTTTCTAAGCCCATAGAAGCTATTCAACGGTTTCCTCCTCTGATTACTTTCTTTTACCTTGTGTTCCTATTGTTACAACAATAGGAAGACGTCAACACATCAAGAGAACTGTTGCTTGACATTTGTCTTTTTTTATTTATTTTTCAAAGCTATATCTAGGAAAAGAAAGCGATTTTAAGTATTTTTGAAGTCTGAGGTTTCTGCTTTGACCTTTTTATAATGTAAATTGGCCTCTATTGTCAGTATAGAGAATCGTTTAAGGTGTAACCCATTTATATACCTGTAGGGTATTGCTATTAAAGAAAAAGAGGGCTCCACCACAGTGAGCATTTCCAATAAAAAGAGATCCAAAACCTGGCTTCTGTATTTTAGTTAAAAACAGAACTGTATGGAGATTGAGAGAAAAATTAATAAGCTGGTATTTTTTATTTGTGTTTATCGCGGATCTTTGGCTAGTGTTTTATCTATATTTTAAAGATCTATTTTCGCTCCTTTTGGATGTTTTATAGGCTTTCTGTCTTTTTTTTAAGGGTTTTTGTTGCATCCTTTCATCAGTTTTTTTGCAATACAGTGAAATATGGTTTCATTGTTGTGCACATATCCATAGGAGAGAACGACGTGGTGCTAATTTATGGGACTGTAACCTTTTTTTGTTTCCTTTCTGGAAAGACTTCTAAGAACATATTGTGGTGGCCTAGTACTGTAACTTTAAGATGAGGCCATACATCTGTGTCACATTAAGAATGAACCATTCAGTAATTTACTTGAGCTGTTTTTATTTGTCTTTTTAAAGTTTAATACATGTTTTTTAAGTCACATTGTTTTTATATCCCTTAGTTTAAAATTAAATATATCTTTAAGTTGCTCATGTTGCTTTTACTTACAAAAATTCAAGACTATCATTTTAAATACAAAATGCCTGCAAATATTCATTAGCATTGAAGACTACAAAACATTAAATCAAGATTCCCCTTTGCTTGTGTGTGTCTGCGTGATGACAGTCATTGGTCCAGATCACAGAATCTAAGAAACATTGAAGAGAAAAACTCGAACCCTCTAGTTAAATGTAACCTCCTTAAAATATATTCATGGTTTTGTTGTAAATAAAATGCAAATAGCATAATCTTTGCCAGGGGTAAGCAATTAAAAATCAGCAGGGTTCTAATAAAGAAAATCAACAACCAGTAAAGGTCCGGAGACATTTTAATTATAAACTGTTATTTTAAACATAATTTAACACTGAAATAAAATGAGATGTTTATGCATCCATGTTATACATTGGCTTTTTGAATTAAAAAAAATTAAAAAAATTGAAAATTTTTCAATTTTTAAATCTGAAGTGTTTTTTCAGTAGAGAAATACAATTTTTCAGTTTGATATATGGACAATTTCCTGATTCACATCTTTTATAAAACATATGACTTAATGTTTGCAGTGGGCTTTATGCTGCCCTGCAAGGCATCAAACCTGGGTTTGAATGGAGACAAAGCCATTCTAAAGCACATATCAAGGTGCTCATTTTGATTCTGGATCCATATTTATTTTTGATTCTGTTCATGGTGGAGAATCCTGCTTCACAGCAGCAGGTTGAGCCAAACATCCTCTAAATGTGTAGGATCATCTTTGAGCACCATTTCACTTTTCTGTCACCAGTTCACTGCAGTTCTTCCAGCAGTCCATACTTCTTCTGCTCTCTCTTTCTCATTGTCTTCTCCTTCTTTCCCATAGCCTGGTTTGCCACAGGTTTGCCTGCTGTGTCTGAAGTAGCAGCAGCAGCAACCCAGACTGACAGCAGCTCATTGGCTAATTTGTATCAAATGCAGCCTGGTCCTGGACGCTCCGGAGGGCTTTACCATATTAACAGGAGAAGCGGCGCAAGTAAATTTAGGCACTGCTGTCGGACAACATGCAGTAATTTATAAATGTTTTAAATCAGGTTGGGTCCGGATTAGCCAGCAGGTGGGTCTGAACCCCATGACCTCTGATCTATGCCAAATGATAAACAAATAGGTGTTATGGTGTGGGACTGCCTCATCACTTTGAGTATTTGGCTCTACATTTAGTAACCTAGGTATACCATTGGGTAAGTCCTTAAGAAAAATTGGACTTTTGAGAGGAAACCCACCAAACAGGTCGAAACAGAATATATATTTGGTTATTTCCTCAAAAAGGACAGGATTTGAACAGAGAATGTTTTAAAAAAAAACTTTAAAAGGTTTCAGGTTTGTCAAACTCATTATTGTATTAAAAGATGCACCTGAATGAATGAAACCTTTGATTTTGTCCTTAAAATTTATAATGAGCGCTGACCTGGTATTTAAGCTTTATTTCCATCAATAAATAAGAGCAAGGTTATAATCTGGGACCCGTTGCAGTTTTAGCAACTTTGTATGCTTTAAAAGAACATGTACATCTTCTTCTTATGACATATTATTGCTAGTTTGTCTCTTGTTTTAAAATCTATTTTAAGCCTAAGTATGGTAAAGAAAATGCCTTAGGTTCTTTGGAGTATTTATTTATAAAATATTAATGGTTTCTTCCAACCCTGAAGAAAAAACACTTCTCTTTATGGCAAAGCCACCTCTGTGGCTCATGACTTCATATCTCACACCACTACTGTTGATAAGACTATTTTTATGTTTAGCAAAGATAAACAAAGTCTTTGACATTTTCTGGGAGAAAAAAACTGTTTTTTAACTTGATATCAGAAGAAAACTTTAATCCAGATTATCCCTGATTGGATGAAAGTGGTCGTTTAGTTTGATGCAGGCGCAGAGCAGTGAAGGTAGGTGCTTCAAGGAGGGGTGGTTAATGACTTCTCTATGTAAAGCCGGGCATACACTGTAGGATTTTTTGCCCTTTTCGGGACGATTCTCCAGTCGTGCCAGAATTTTTCGATTGGGCCGACTTACAGCCTGATGTGTACGTAGTGCATTGTGTAGTGCAGTGTAGGGGGTAATGCGGGGCGATCAGCCTCTCACGACTGCCTCCCGATCAGGAAACATGAGTTCGGGAGAAAATCAAACATGTTTGAATTTCAGTCAGCCATTGTGGGCAAATCGTTCAGAGAGCATGTCCAAAAAAAGATTCTTCTTCCTGTCAGATGAAAACAGAAGCGTGGTGGGGGTGCGAGTGAAATGGAGTTCTTTCTGTAAAATTGACAGAGCGTAGCAGCCACGTTTGCTCAGCCATGTCTTTGTCCAAATACGTTGTCGCTTTTTCTCTTTAGGGCTTTCAGCAAAAAATTGCACAAATTGCCAAGTCAGCGTGTTTCACTCTAGTGAGCTTCATATTCCTCTTCTGATGGTTTGGCTTCCGGATCGACGAGTCAGAGTAGCACCATCTCACTGCGGAGCTGAGTCTGATGTGGTTTTCAGACATACAGTGTGAGCAGGTAGATCACATCAGAGCGTCGGGCCACACAGTGTAAGAACATACATTGTAAGCTGTGAACTTTTAAACCCTAAGGTTTCGTCGTACAGTGTGAGTTGTAGCTGCGTGCAACGATTGAAAATATTGCACAGTGTATGCCCGGGCTTAAGAGGGAGTTGGCCACTCATGATTCCAGGACAAGGACCAACTCATGGGCATGCTTAGGTGGCGCAGGGGTTAGCACACACGATGCATGTATGGAGGCCTTAAAAAAAATAGGAGCATTTCAATCCGTCATCCACTTTATTGCATCTTGAGGGGCTTACATGCACTGGGAAGGGCCATAGTAAATAAAATAAATTTACAACTAAAGAAAAATACACTTCTAATAATACAGTCATGAAAAATGTTAATATTTCCCTCGTGATTTACTCTGACTCTCACAAGCAATCCACAAACATGACAGAGAACAGACACAGAGAGAAACTGATCACTTTCTGTAGTTTACAGCACAGGAGAGGAAATTGGAATTCATTTATGACCAAATGTATGTTCAAAGTTAAAAAGAAACAAAAATAAAACAGAGTTCCTACTGAGGGTCGATCTGGAAGGGGGAAATCTTTACAAAAAATGTCATTTTGAGATGGGGGTTGGGGTGGGACAGGTTAAAGGCTGGAAGGTTCAACAATGACCCCAAAAGGATTCCTCCATACATTACTTCATAGGTTACAGAGACTCCACTGATGACAAGCTAAATGTTAGCCACCGATAAATGAGTCCAAAACCATGCTCAGAGAGAAACTAATGCTACGTTCAGACCGCATGTGATAGAAGCAGCAAACAAAAGCGTCTGCTGCTTCATTTTTGATGCTTGTACACATTAAGGTCCAATGCACCTCAAAAGGCATCCTTGATGCTCTTGAGGCGCGTCCAGTAAAGTGTTTACAGATGTGTCTGATGCTTCTGCTGCTCCTGTGTTCAATGGTATAGAGTGGCTTTGCTATATTTGCTGATATAAGTGAAAAACAAGTATTCTTAATGTGTTTTTAAGTGAGAAAGTCCACTTGAAAAGTTAAACTGTGCAGACAGTTCATCAAGATTATGATTCTGCCTTAAAATATTATTTCTCTGTCACACCAACACAAAATCCAGTCACTGTAAATCCCCTTCAAAAGCTGCTTCAGGCCCTTGGCGGTTTTCCGCAACTGTTCGTGGTGGATGGAAGGAGATGTTAGCGGTTGTACATAATCCTGCAGGCATCAGAATAAGACTCAATTACGCAAAGGGAAAACGTAGATATTTCCCTGCGGTTTGGCCTCTCGTTTATACCAAAACCCTGTTTTTATCACAGAAAAAACATTATTTCTAAAACCTCCGGCCACACTGGAGATTTCTGATAATGTTAGATAAGTCCTGCCGTGTCAACAGAGATAAACAGCGTTTTAGCTTCTTAAAACGTTACGTTATGTGCCAAAAAATCCTTAACGTCATGTGGGCACCTGATGATTACAGCTTTTATGGCGCTCGATATAGTATTTAAGCGGGTTGATGTAAATGACAAGTTTTCGAGCAGCAGAAGTTCAATCTTTCCAACTCGAGCATCTGCTGCTTGTGAAGCACGTCATGCGCCTCAGATTCTCAGCTCATGAGGTGCCGCTTCAGCTGCTCAGATGCATCGAGATGCGCTGCAGGATTTTTTGATGCCCCTTTTTGCATGTAAACGAGCTGCTTCTGCTGCTTTAGTAGTGTGCGGTCTGAAAGTAGCATAAATACGAACTGTATTTTTATTCATGATTACACAGCAGCAGGTTGCTGCTAAGAGTTTTGACTGCTGGTAGCTTTAAGGAGGTTCAGCCAGATGATGTAAATAATGTTTTAAGCTTTTAAGTTTTAGATTTAGTTAATGCATATTTTAATTGGAATCACTGAGTGTTAACAGAATCAACTCTGCTTAGAGGAAAACCACCCCACTGTTCCTTTAACACATACTGTAGTTAGTCACCAGAGGAAGCCTCAAAGGGGCTGAATATTTCCCAGGTTGTATAGGATAATTAAGCACTGCCCCTCCCCCACATGTTGCTGAACACTGCTGCTAACCATGCAGAAATAAAGCCACTGCTTGAAATTACTCTCAATGGGCCAAAACAAGGGCAGACATTATCAGTTTTAATCTTAATCAATTCAAGTTGGCAATTCAAGTTGCCAAATTCAAGTTGGCAAAAAAAATCTAATCTAGTTTTAAATGAATATTTGATATCTCAGCAGCTGTAGGATCAATATTTATGCGTTTTAAATATAAGCAGTGAGATAATATGCTATTTTAACCTAACATCTGGAGGATATATAGTTAAATCTTTTGGATAATCACACAATGCTTTATGTGTGACATCACATCTGTTGTTGACCCATCTGAACATGGTGCCCGCTAATCATCAAAATGACCAAACCAGACAGTAAAATTGAACACAGCAGACTATTTTTAACATCTCTACTAAAAATAAGTTCAGAAACATGTCTAAGAAGACTAAAGTGTTATTTTCTGGAAGGTTTTCAGGATATGTTCTCTAAGACAAAGGTGTGTAGATACCCTCAGCAGTCTGAAGGATTATACTAATGAAACAAAATGGATGCGGTACATGGTAAACGACCAAAGGACATAAAAAAACAAAACATAGAAAAATAGGCCACAAGTAAAAAACTAAAAGAAGAAGAAAAAGGACCACTTGCTGTTTTTTTTTACAACTGAAAAGCCCACCAAGGTTTTTCTAAATATACAGTATATTAATCTTATAGTGGCGATCCTCCTCGTTTCAGATCATTCCACTGATGACGGCAGACAGAGGGAAAAATCACACTACTTCTTACGATTTCATGTCTGATTCATTTTTGAGATTCCCACTAAAGAAACCTATGTACATCATAGAGGACCTTCCTGTAAACACAACATATTTGATGTCTCTCAGAAATCTACCAGGGTTTCGTTTACCAATCATATCCGACCAACATGGGAACACAGAGAAGCTCCTCCTTCCTCAGTAAGGAGGCGGAGACATTAAAGGAGATATGGGCGGGGCTTATGACACTAAAGCACATCAATCATTCAACTCAGCACAATTAATAAATCTAAACACATATTTTTCTTCACTTCCTCTCATTTATCTTCCTGAACATTTGTTTGTTTTTTTTGTCAGGGTTTTGTGTCATTTTATTTCCGACAACAAAATGAGTACATCGACATAAGCACAAGCTTTGGATTGTTTTTCTCTATTTTTTTTTTATCGTATAATTGTATATAATCCATTATGGTTCACTTTCACAGTTTGTGCTACAACATCACACAGGAGAAGTCGGGTCATGGACGGGTGAAGAGGAGGAAAAAGAGTAACTGAACATAGCTGGCATCTTGTTGATGTTGACCGACACCAGGTAAACATTGAGAAGGCTCTGATCCAGAAAGGAAAGCAGCTAAGAGAGAAGAAATACAGAACATTTAAGCACTAGGCATATTTATTTAAACTGTTAAACTGATATTTGCAAAAACCAGAAACTTGTGCAGGGAATGAAGGAGTACCAACTGGACATTAAATCAATACAAATTAGTATATATTAACCTACTGATTCGCTTCTTTTTAGCAACATGTAGGATTAATCATTTGCAGTATTTAAATGAATAGAGATGTTTGTGTTCAAAGGGTGCCTCATTTACAAAGCAAGCGTAGGCAGAAAAATGCACAACTTGGTATTAAAAATAAAGTTAGAAAGTGTTTGAAAACGTGTTGCAATACATGTAAACCTTTGAATCTGCCATTAAAAATGTGCGGCAGCAATGCAAACATTTTGAATTCAGGTAATAAACTATCATGCACCAAAATCCGTTCAGATTCAGTGACTTTAAATGTTTTTTTTCTGAGTTTGAGTTTGTATAGGTTAAATCTTAATGATGGAATTAAATCACCTTCAGCCTCAAACAATAATGCAAACTATAAATAATCTTTTGTTTTGTTCATGTATGTGCAGATCGATCTCTTTGCTAAAGAGCAAACAAGTAAAAAAAAAAAAAAAACTGAGAAAAGATACATAAATGGTGGCGGCTCAGCAGATTCCTCAGGTTGAGAATCTGTAGAAAATCACATGTCCATAAAACATGTGCATAATTGTGGAGTAAGGCTCTACTGGTGGACATTGCCCTTCCAAACAGTGTTGTTTTCATCAACCATGACGATGAAATTATTTCGTTGATGCTCCTTTTTTTCATGATGATAATAAAAACTGATGAGCTAAACATAGATCTTTGATGACTAAAACATGACTAGTCATAGGTTTGAGTTATCATCGACGAGACGTGACTAAATAAAAATTAGCGGGTGGTCGGTCATACGTTTAAAGTGCATCATTGTGCTGTAATCTGTTAGACAAGTCAAGCATTATCAGCCGTGCTGCTGCGTCTTGTTGGGTCAACCAGCCCACCTGGTGTGCAGCGGTGCACATTCTGCATGATCACAGAGGGAACATGGCAGCAGCGAAGGGTAGAAAAATAACCCAGAATGGTACTTCGTACTCAACTCTGACAAACTCTGATCTTCCAGCTGTGCATGTGCAGAAATGCATATTGACATGCAGGTAGCTCAGAGTCTGCGCTTTACGCTCCACATTGATTGTTCGCTCTCAGTAGTATGGCTCTTCCTGCGCTACCATATGTGGCTGATCATCCTCTGCCAAGAGTAAAAAAATCCCTTTGTCTAACTATCAATATTTTATTTTCTTCCAGCTCACAAGAGGTGATACTAAACCTTCTTTAATTTCTACCAAAAGAAATCCCTAAATTATATCCAAAGAAAATATTTCATTGCATTCTGTTTGTTTGTGGATAAAGAGCCAAGTGAAAAGGTACATATATCTTTGTTTATTTCTCTCTCATAGTTCTCGTTTCCATCTATTTAAATAATATGTAGATGTTTCAACATTTTAGTTAACATATTCATTCAATTTATGTCTGGATTGTCATGGCCTTACCAGGCAATTATGTAGGTTCTCTCTGTATGTTTTTATATAAAAACTCTGTGAATTTAAATCTACTTTGAGCCCTGAGCAGTGGTAAATAAAGGGCAAATTCTCAGAAATAACGCCTAAATTGCCAAAGTAGAAAGAAGAACGTTATTGTTCTTTCATTTTTTGCTCTTTTATCCAGTCTGTGGGAGTGGGGCTTGAACTCAGAAACTCTGAATTCCAACCGCAATGCCCTAACCACTGGGCCACCACTCTCTTACTCCCATTGTACTCAAAGGTCGACCTGAAAAGTGGATCAAACTGCTGCAGCTCATCCTGAAAGCTGCTGACTACATCCGTAATGTCCTAAATCGCTCTAAACAGGAATTATACTTCAGGAAGTTTGTGTATTTGAAATGTTTTCAAGAGAAATATGGGGAGGGGGGGTATTCACGTGAATTCTAATAATTACATATACAGTACTATAATTGAGTTCAATGCATAAGACTGTTTGGACTTAATACAAACAATGTAAAAACAGAGACTGATTATATCTTTCAGGATTTGATCATTACAAAGAAAGACTTTATTTCAGCTACAGGGTACTTAAACTCATTTGAATATCTGTTTAGGGGTGGGACTAGGATGAGAAAAATTAGACATGGGATGTGTCCGATATCCACCCTAATCACTATATTGTTGTTACGGCATTTTAAATGAGTGTCCGAAAGTCTAGTGAATAAAAAAGTAGTGGAAAAGAAGTGATCATCCATGGTCACTAGACGAGCAAATATATCCCGGACTACTTTGAGCAGAGAGCTAACCTTACAAATCATCATGGGATTTGTTATCATAGTGGCGCTCTATTGCCAGAGGCTGTCGCTACCCAACAGCAGTGACTAATAACAAAGATGGCGCAGACACCGTGTGTTGGAGGTGGAGTTTACGTGACTAGGTGAGCGAAAAGTAGTGATCATTTGTCCGAAAGGTCAATAAACAGAGTTTGCTATAAAGTCCACTATATAATCACTGCTCTATATAGTGATTGAGAGATCTAGGAGTTAGGGCGAACGTTCGGACACGCAAATTGGAATGGAAGAAGGTAAAGTATGAGTTGACTTTGCATGGTTTCGTGTATAAGAACTTTTTTGTGCGCCACAAAATTCAGAATTTCTCCTCACCACAAACTTTTAGTATGAAAGCTGCGCTCTCCTTTGCACATGAGGCCCCTGGTGTTTCACTAAGAGTGCCAACGACTGGTGGTATATTTCACAACAACGGAGCCCAACCTAACAGTGGCTTAGTGCTACTTATTCCTTAAGATAAAACATCTCCAAAGACAAAGAAGGAAGAAAAAAATTAGCATTTTGTACCTGGAATATTACAAGAAGTCCTTGAGGTCTAGATCTGCCAGAGGGTCCTTGGGCTTCTTGGGGCTCTGATTTGCAGGTCCTGAAGAAAGCTAGACAAACAAGCAACATCAAGACCCTTTAAATCCAGTTTTGCACTTGATGATCAAAGAGGTAAGGATCAATACCATTGTACAGAATAGCTGTTTGAACTCTGCTGCATCATTTAACTCCTAAATCATTTATAAACCCTGAACTTACTTGCATATGATCAAGTTACAACCTCAATGCATTTAGCTGATATTTCCTGCTCCAGATAAACTCAAAGAATGCCTTCAAATTCTTGAATAGATTTGGTTGAATGATCCTTTTAAGGTCTATCCATGTTCATCTTTTCCTATCGCTGATGAAGGTTCTCAGTCATCCAGGTCATAGTCATTCCGTAAAAATTCAAAAAATATCCACTGGACTGGTTTTCAAGATTTGAAGACGTTTCGCCACCTCTCCAGGAAGCTTTCTCAATTCAAATGTCTGGATCGGTTAGATCTCAATTCAAATCTAACCGATCAGTTAGATTTGCATGTTTCCAAGCGATACAAGGCGTTGTCTATATAAGACTCAAACTCACTGCGGATCCAGACATTTGAATTGAGAAAGCTTCCTGGAGAGGTGGCGAAACGTCTTCAAATCTTGAAAACCAGTCCAGTGGATATTTTTTGAATTTTTACGGAAATCTTTTCCTATCACACTTTTCCTCCCACTCAACTTTGCATAAGTATGTCTAAGGCAGTTTGCAGACTTTCTCCTTTGTTTTTTCTTTTGGGTTGTTTTGAGTTCACCTTAAACTCTTGTTTGGACATTTTGTAATTTAATTTGCACTTAACCATTCTTGAATTTGTTGTCCATTTTCCTTAATTTTAATTGGGTTAAGTTGTATTGTGTTTTTTGGTTCTGTGAAATCATCTTTTGTAATAAATAATTTAACATTCCACTTATTTTCCTCTGGACACCCCTAGACCTTGGGTACGTAACAGGTGCAGAAAATTTTTGCAGATGTTTTGGGTTAATTAGCTGATAAGCATGGCATTTAGTTTAAAAATGCTTTTCCAAAATACTGAATAAATGCCTTAGTAAGGAACAGGTAATCTTTCTGTTGGGTACGATGGGTTACCGGTGCTCCTGGTGCAGCGGCTCCAGGTGCAGCTCCAGGAAGCCCAGTGAACGCGGGTCTCATCATGGGCTGTCCCATCATAGGCTGGCTCATCATGGGCTGCATCACTGGAACTCCCGGCCCTCCTGCAGGGGGCTGCAGGGAAAATAGGTTGAATCAGGAATCATTATTTACCCTCCAACTGTATCCTAGACTTTGTTATGAACGATTCACCAATATATTTCATAGGTAACAGTGACTCCTAAACATCCAAGAGTGTTGGAACTGATTAAATTGTTTACATCAATTCAAGCGTTTTATCATTAATCTGGGATTTTATTCTTAAATTCTCTACAGAGAAAGAGAAAATAAAGCTCACCATGCCAAAGCCAGGCTGTGCGCTCATTGTTGGCACCATAGGTGCCCCAGGGGGAGCTGCTCCTGGTGCAACGGGGGCAACAGCAGCCTAAACAAGGACACGGATAGAGTGCTAAATAAGTTTTCTTAAATCCTGCAGCCTCTGTAAGATCTGTAATCACTGAACAGCAATTAAAACCAGAATGATGAATAAAAAATAAGAAACTGTAAAGTTTGAGCTTTTAGATAATCTATATCGTTTGATCTAGTGTCTGTCAGCCTCTAGAAAATACTGCATAACTTCTCAACAGAATTCAGATCAGGTCTGTTTACTAGCCAGTTGATTATGGTGTTAATTAAAGGGTACGTCTGATCGTGGCTCTGGCTCCCAAGACCAGTATTGACCGGATCATGAACTGGATATGTCTTTGTGATATGTACTGTAAATAATAAAGTATTTTTGAACAAAAGCGAATAAATATTGATGCAATTTTATGATATACTAGGCATTAAAAGAGCTACTTTAACTTGAGGCTTAAAAACAAGTTTTCAATTCACTGTGTTTCAACCGGGATTGTAGTTCTCACCATGGGGGCTCCTGGAGTCCCCCAGCTGGTAGGAGCGACCTGCGGCATCCAGTTGGCTCCTCCTGTCAGCTTCTTCTCACTGAGAGGATCTCTTTAAAACATAAGATAAGAGATCTGTATGATTTACTGGGGATTGTTATTCTAATGGCTACCTTTGTTTTATGTTATTGTTGCATAAGTCATATACTTAATCACACACTTACTTTTTCTTCATTCCAAGGTCTGAAAAAAATACACAAAAACAATTACATTTGAACAACTGCAGGTAAAAAAAAAGAAAAAAGAAATTTAATCTCTGTTTACCTCCAACCAGGTTGGCCAGCGATGAGTCCAGATCTCCTCCGATTGTTTTGGGAGGAGGCGGGGTGGCAGGAGGGATGGCTGATATGCCTCCTGCCGCGATGGGAGTCCCTATGCTGCCTGCTGTGCTTCCAGCCGTGCTTCCTCCTGTGCTCTGTGGCGTTACCGCAGGCATAAGCAATTCGCCTAACCCACCGAACACTGGAGGAGAGGGGAGGGCATCACAGGAAACAGTAGCCATTAAAAACTGGAAGCTGCATTATCTGGCTGAAGCAGGCAGAGGACAGACATGGGAGGCAGTGCAAAGACAAGGAGGACAATCCAGCTGTGGCAGCATCTGTAGACAGCTGTGCATGGCATCCACTGAGCCGTAAATGACCGAGCATTCAGCTACACTCACTTGGCTAGTTGTTCAGACATGAGATAAAACCAAAGGTTGGGAACCTGGTGCCACCAAGACCAAAAAAAAGCTTTTCCTCACAGGCTGTTCTGATATTTGTTCTACATTTTTGTCAGTTAATTCATGTAATTGTTTTTTGTTTGTTTTTTTACCGCAGCCTCCTCTACACTGAATGACAACCTGGGGATGATATGTAAAATTAAATGAAGTTCCCTAATCTGTCATAATCTCAGAGTTAAACAGAATAATCAAATTAATTTTTTGATTCAATTCTGCCAACCAATAAAAGATTTACTAACAGATTTTTAAAAAAAGACTTCTTTAAATTCAGCCCCTGAGGTCTGGTATCCTGCACCTTTTAGATGTGTCTGTGCTTCAATAGATCTGAGCCAAACATGTGGGTCACTAGCAAGACTCTGAAGAACTTGCCTGCATGCTGAAGAGGAAATTCAGCCATTTTATTCAGTGTGTGGAAATAGAGACGCTTATAGAAGATGCAGGACAACAGGTAATTGAGGACTGAAATTGGTATTTTGTAACTTAGCCAAGACTTTATGTTTATATGGATATTAAAACATTATCCAGGACAGAGGTCCATTTCCTTGCCAACCTTTCAAAATAGGAAAAACAAGAGAAGGTCGCATTCAGATAAAGCGGACAGATGTGTTTATGATTGTAAATTTTTATAAAAAATTGCTACATGCCAACTTAACAATGATGCTGTGTCTTATCTGACCATCAGCCAGTCCTGCTTAACTAACCAGCTGTTTGGGAATCCTTGTGAACCCAGATACTTCACCCCTTCCTCCAAATGTTGATCTCTCAGTTTACTGGCACAAAATAACAAGAGAATTTGGTAGAAAATTTAAAAATGTGTCTTTTATCGTACTATAAGTTTTAAACCTTTGGGCGAAGAAACCTTCACCTTCTCACCTGGCCCTCTGAGATTACTGTCAAACCTTAATCTAGGCTGGATGTGCTCTCTTCATCCTATGACATGGGAGCTGGCTCAGAGCTCGTCTGCCTGGCTGTTTGTTTCCTGGATGGGGCCACCTTTTATAGTTGCCTTTTGTATCTCTGCTTTTTTTCTATGTCTGCTTCTATCTCCTTGAACCCCAGTCTGCCTCGGCAGATGGCTGCTCACTCTAAGCCTGGTTGTGCTGGAGGTTTCTTCCTGTTAAACGGGAGTTTTTCCTCTCCACTGTCGCTACATGCATGCTTAGTGTGAGGGATTGCCTTCGAGTCAATGAGTCAATGCAATCAACTGGTTTTCCTTAGATAGAAAACTTTGAATCAATTTGACTGGATGATCTGGTGAACTGTAAAGTGCCTTGAGATGATGTGTTATGAATTAGCGCTATAGAAATAAACTGAATTAAATAGAGATGTTATGCAAAAAGACAAGTTTAAAGAATTCTGTTCTCCTTGTATGCTTCACTGCTTAGCCTTTCTGAAATGTTAGATAAAAATTGAGATCCTATTGATGCAAACTATTATTTCTTAGAATAGGGTGAGCTTACATTGCTTAATGTTTTAATCTGTCCTTACTTTTTAATGTAATATTATGCTTCTGTCAATATAATATATCTTCAACCAACCTCTCTGGCTTCTTCTCTTATATCACATTAAAGTCAGCTACAGTCAGTTACAAATTCTAATCTTTATGACATTCCAGGAGCAGAAAATATTTTGATTTGCAAAGCAAGAGTTAAAATAAATTAATAATGTGCATTATTGGACAAAAAATATTTCTAATAATTCTTATTAATATAAATAAATGAAAAAAATGCATTTTTATAAATAGAAATTTTGCAGGTAATAGCGATCCAAATAACAGGCTGTACCTGCAGCTTAAGACATGTGCTTTGGGTTAGAGTTGCAGTACTGCTGCTATATAAAAGTGATGGAGACTTTAAAGGTGTAATTTAATAGACTTTAATAGTGCATTAGTGACTGAAGCATTCTGAGGGAATTGAAAGGACACATAATAATAGGAAGAGATTTGATGTATATAAAGCCTTTGTGCAGTATTTTTTTTTACAAATGTTTTTTTATGGGGGAAAAAAATAATTACTGGCCATAAGTTGATAATTTCAGGGGCTGGTTCTGGGCCCTCCTACCTGCTGCAGGCATGGATACAAGTATGAATAGCAATAGGTCCTGGTGGCACATGGTTACCTTTAAAAAAAATCCAGCTGCAGATAAATATAAAGTGATGATAATAAAGCTTTTCTCATGCAGTAGACGTGTATGGAGAACCATTTTAATCAAAATTTAATAAATACAATAAATAAATAAATGCTGTTATTGATTAATTTACTAATAAATACACTACGAAATGAATAAATGTCACCATCAAGTAAAGCTAAATAAAATTAAATTTTAAATTAATTTGTATTGCATTATTTTTAAATCTATTTCAAGATTTAATTTTAAATTTTTTTTTCTAATTATTTACTTCTAGATTAATTTTTTTATGATAGAGTTTTGCAATCTTATTTGCAGGGCAACTCGGTATGATACTTAGTATGAGATGTCTGCTATGCTACCATTTAACCCTTCAGGATGGTTAGCAGCTTCTCTCAATAAGTCTGAGATGCTTTTCAGACATTGTAAATCAGTACAAAATACATTTAGAAAGATAAAAACCTTTCTGCAAAACACCGCCAAATAATTGCCATTGATTATTTTCTTCTTCTCCTGCATCTTCTTTTGCAAGGTAGTTTCTGATTTCCTTTGAATGGCTGACCTCTGACCAGCGCTGCCACACAGGAAAAAACTGAATGTGACAACATGAAATGAAAGGAGCTGAAAATGAAAAAATAAAAGTCTTTTAAATATGTAAAGTAGCCTTACAAAATAAAAGTATATATAAAAAAACTCCCTCATGAAATAAATGAAACAAAATAAAAATAGAATAAGATGAAATGTCTTTTTTAAAGTATTTATTAAGTTTAACTTCATAGTGAGATTTATTTATTTAATAGAATATTTATTAAAAGCAGCATTTATTTATTTATTTAATTCCGTAATTTTGAATGAAACAGCTCTCCATAGATGTGAGTCCTTTTGCAGCATGCAAAGGCAGGAGGCCTTGAAAGACAGAGAGAGGGAGCACCAAGCGTCCAAACTGCACATGCAGCAATGCACTGCAGAGTTAAACTCACCATTTATAGATTAGATGAAACAAGCAATGACCCAGCGAGGATGGAGGAGAGGATGAGGGAGGGAGATGATGCAGAAGGAGAGCAGAATAAGAGACGTGTTCAGCAGAGAGAAAGACAAGGAAGATGGAAGAGTGGGTGGAATGGGTGGGAAGTGGAGAAAGCACAGCATTCGTGAAAAGTGCAGAAAGAGTAAGACAGAGTCAAGCAGCAGTGCTGAGGAAAGAAAGCAGTCAGCAAGAAGAACAGTTTTTCATCAGGAGGCCAGTGAGAGCGGTGAGTTTCAGTGCCTCAGTCATGCAGAACCCAAGCTGTCAGTAGGAAAGGAAAACTCAGTCAGTCTGCTTCAAAAACTCCTCTGATAATCAAACAAAGCCCAATAAAGCACACCAAGCAGAGCAGCTATGAACTAAATGCATTCAGTTTGTTACACACGGTATTACAAAGCAACAAGTTTTCAGAGTGAAACCCTAAATTCTACCTACTTGAGGCATCAAAGCCACCAGAGGGCACTGGTGTGGTAGATGCAGGTTCTGTTGCTGCTGCAGTTGGAGCTATGGGTACTGCTGAGGCTGCAGCTGGTAATGGGGGAGTCAGGGATGGAAGCGAGGCCAGGGCATCGAAGCCAGTCTCCAGGAGGTTGTTCTGCACGGGAGCTGGAGCCACGGCTGGAGCAGCCGTGGGAGCAAGAGTGGGGGAGATCAGGCCTGGACAGGACAAAACAGGACAGACCCAACATTCAGACTCATTTCAACACACTTTTAGTGCTGATATAATTGGGTTTATACTCAGATTCAAACAAGACAGCAACATTTTGGAACCCCTAATACACAGTTTAAATATATGTTAATTGCTCTGTAAATACATTTAAGTTATTAATGGGTTTATTATGCATAATTTAAAGTTGAGCAAAGACAAAAATTAGTGATTTCTGGCCAAATATTGAGCCTGACTCTTTGTTTTACTTTATCAAGTGCTGCTTATACTCACCCATTCAGACTAAGTTGCTACCTTTTAAGAATTTACAAACCTAAATTGTAGGGGGCATAATATGAATAATGCATATACAAAAATAATAAATGAGCTATTAAAAGATTACAGATACATAACTAATATATATATAACATGTCTATTATAAAATAAATTAATTACCAGTAAAATTTCTGGACTGACCTTAAGCTAATTTCCATATTTCAGTAAATCAATAAATTCAGGTGCTCATAAACATATACTATCTTCTTTTCAGCTCACCTAAGGAATTTGGGTCTAAAGGCCAATTTATGCTTCTGATGCATAGCCTCTGCAACCGTCAAATCTGTCTCTGTGCATGACCACGCCCCTTGCGGGAGGTTCTTCGCTTTGGCGAGAAACTGCTGTGTGTCCCTAGAAATTCCAGACCGACGTTGCAGAAGCATACCAGAAAAACTGTTTCGTGACCAGACCCAAGCGACATTTGATGTGTGCGGTTGCAGAAGTATAATCTGCCCTTAAGGATTGACACGATAAAGAAGAATGTTGATTTTGTTGTTTGGTAAATTATTTCTGTTATTATGCTCTTATGCTGATCTATGTCCAGTTGCATAGCAGAGTGTAGAAGATTTTTATTAAATTCAATTTTCAAAAAGCAGAATTTGGTAAGATCTCATGCATGTCAAACTTGTATAATATAAATGAGCACCAAAGTCTTAAATTTCTCTGTCCTAAGTTATGTCTTAGTTGAAAATATGCATTGCTCTGTCTCTTCTCTTATAGCAACATGAAAAATGTCATTTTTGTTCAAAAATAATATTTTTTTTCCCACAGTTTTTGGTTTCAACCTGGTTTGAAGTTATGTGTCCAACCAATTTTTGGTTAAAATAACCAATACATTTTTTTTTTTTTGTTTCTACCCAAACTATGTTGGTAAAAGACCACATCAATACATATTGGTCAATTTAACCACAATAAGCCAAGGACAATAAGCCGGGACTTGAACTAGTAACCCTAATTTTGAATGGCAAACTTCTACAGCTGACACCACTATCACTGAATACTACTTAACACTAACAATGCCACCGAAACCAATGGCTTGGTTTCTGATTCTAATATTGTTTATTTGTTATAATAACCAAACCTGTTTGACCAACTATATTGGTGGTTTTTCCAACCCATCTATTCTTAGAGTATATCCAAATTCTATCCAAATACTCAACTGACTGTAACTCCCCTACGAACTCCTGCATCTTGACTAAATACTGAGGCTGTTTAAATGCCTGTCAAAGTTCACGGGCGAGCCGAACCACTTGCTACACTGGAAAAAAATTGAAATCTCCTAATTTTTTCTTAAAATAAGTGCATTTGTTCTGGGATTGAGGAGGAAAACGAGACATTTTGTCAATGGAACAAGACCATTTACATTTAAAATAAGAAAACACAATTGCATTGGCTTGTTTCAAGTGCATGTTATCTAATTATCTTATATTAACAGTAAAATTACTCATTCCATTAGCAAACTAATTTACCTACTCAAATTAAGGGTGAATACAAAATGTAGGTAATTTTAACTTATTTCTAGGTCGTTTTTTCCAGCGTACCACCATACCAGTCACATGGTATAGCGGTAGCAAGTCTCTGGACCTCATCAATTTTGGTTCCTCCGCTACATGAAGAAAGCCTCGAAACACCTCCTCCACTACTCAACACATGTCTCAAAGCCTCAGTTCATCTCATAACATCACCATCTACTAATTATTCCTCTGTCCTGATCTCCTAGGTTGATTCAAAGTTAAGCAGTTAATACACCAGACGCATAACAGCACAGCAAAGTGGCATATATATGTTTAAAAACTGAAATTTACACCAGATGCTAAAGAGAACACTCCAGAGCAATGGGTTCAGCAACGGGGCTCTGAGCAAAGATGAGCTTTTGTGACATGGGAAAATAAATTAAACAGTACAATGTTTGAAAGTTAGAAATTTATAGGTAATATATGATCACCTAAAAAAACAGCATCTTGAACAACCTGATGAGAAATCAGATATGTATTTTCTTAGCAGGTCAAACTACCAACATCTGCTGTGTGGGCAGTAATAACAGTAGGCGTTGGGTATTATCCTGTAGAAAAAGCACCAAGTAGAAGAAGCACCTTGGTTTGAAGTGAACATGAAACCAGATGTTGTGTTTTGTTTCTTCCTAGCCCAAACTGGAGCACATACGCATCTGAAATTAGAAACTCTACCTAAGTGTGTAATACGAGCATTGAACGATCATATTACATGGCCGCCATAAATAATTTTACTGTTTAAAATGGAAAGCTGTGACACACCAAGGGTGCCCCTTCCTGCTTTGCTGCCCTGTTTAGGGTCCGGTGTAATTACTTTAGTCGTTTGCCAAGATGTTCTATGGTTCTCCCTTGCTCCAAGCTTCTAATCTTCCATCATGATACTTCCTCAGATCGGACTCTGCTCACTCCTCCCTCCACAAGAGAAATCATTTTAGCCGTGTTTCCCAGAGAGCTGACATGTCCCAAGCCCCAGAAATCTCAGTTCCAGATTTCGTCTCCAGATCTCCTTACTACTTTATAAACTTTTAAAACTGTCTTCTGCCTCCAGAAGTGTGTTCTGCATGTGGGTCAGACCTCTGCCTGGTGAAGATTTTTTCACATCTTCACCAGGGGAGACAATCTGTTGCTGCATACAGAAAATAAACACAGACATCAGCACACTGATGAAACATGCTGACGCTTTGATTTCTAGCTAAACTGAATTAGTTGTTCTAACTGCTCCACTTTAAATCAAATGAACCAGACGAGAGGGAGGCAGAGCCATTCCTAAAGGCTGCATTAGGTGAAAGATTTTACATGAGCCCTAAGTCACTTTGAAACTGCTGTGCGTTTCATCCAACCATGCTTGCCAAGTCTGCAAAATAGCAACATTAATCTGGCTAATGTGTTTCCATCATTAGTCATTGCGTTACTTTCTGTCGTGGCAGAGAATGTTTGCTACTGACATTTTCCCATTTTGGATTTCAAGACCTTTTACTATCTAATGTAACCATAACTTGCACTAAATACTCGGATGTTGTGAAGAAGATTTAGTCTAACCTCCCAGCAGGTCTTCTCCTGGAACAGCAGGAGCAGAGCTTTGCTTCTCCTCCACAGGGCCGCTGAAGGAGTCTGCAGGGACATATACAGAGAGGGGTGAAAGGTCACTCCTGAATCACATAACAAGGAGGGATAGAATGCTGTAGTAATAGCAGAGAGCTGAAATCATGACATCCCCTTTTAAAGCACATACCTATAACTTTTGACAGACTGATACAGTTAGGAGGTAACAACACTCAAAATATTTGAGTTTTGACAAATATAAAAAAAAATGAAAAGCAACAATTGTCTTATGGATCATTGATAACTCTGCAAAGGCTTGCAAGATTTTGGAAATATTGGATAGGACTATATACAGTTAAAGTATCAGGTCTGAAGAAGTCAATTATCAGAGTTGAGAAAAATGACCGAACCGTTTCAGACACTGATGCTTCTGCACACCATCTACTTTCTGCCTCTCACAACTGTTGCTTTTTGTGATCTAAACCCCTCAAAATATGATTTATCTGTCTATGCACCATTTTTGCAGAGTTCTTCCATCCAGTGTTAATTTGCCTTTCTTAATCATTTCCTGTCGTTAAATAGTCTCAGATACGACACTGTTTACCGTTCTACCTAGAAAGCCAGCGTCCCAAAGTCACCACTTCACTGTTAAAGTTGAGTCTGGAGTTGTGCAGATACCACTAAAAGGTATAGAGGAGTTTCACGTATTTTTGAAAAGACACACACTCTCCACTTAAAAAAAATGCACATGCACAACCCTGTACCTCCGACCAAAATTCTCAATTTTAGGGCACCCGTGCATAAGAAATATGAAAACATTAAAAATATGTTTAAAAGTTCCCTTTTTTGCGTTCATATTTCAATCAGTTTTATTATTAGTGTACGAGAGGGGAGGTAGTTCTTCGCAGCCAGGTATTTCTTGGTATAGGGTTAGGTGAAAACGGGGACAGGCAGGTAGGACGGCCTTACGTGAACATTAGCAAGCATTGGCCAGGATCCTGAACACCATAACGATTGACAATTAGGAGAACCACTTATTTTGATGATCCACCCGGAAAAAGAACATCCTCCACTACACCTTTAATAAAGCTCGCTGCAGACGATGTGTGAGGAATAGTTCAGAGAATCTGATGTGCTTATTTTCCTGCTCAGCTTTGTACCTGGGCCTCTGCTCCTAGTTTGGTTTGCTTTTTCAAAGAAGTAGTACACACTGTTTCTCTCATGGAATAGTCCTTATTCCTCAGAACAAGAGTAGACTAATGAATTTCAGTTGGAAGTTTGTTTTTTCTGGCCACTGAGAATGTAGTCGATTGCTTGAATGCTGGTTTTCTAAATACTCAAATAGCTGAATGAAGATTAACTTAATGGCTATTGTAATCAATGGAATGGTTTTCAGCTGTTCTAACATTATTACACTGGATCTTATAAATGATCACTTGCCTTTCTACATGATACACTTGAATTGGCTAACAGAATGTGCCACAGGACCATAAAAGTGATTGTTGCTGAGAGAGGGGCCTCTTTACACCTCTTGTAAATATCAGAACAAAGAAGAGCCGTATCCAGCTATGTTGGTCAATGAGGAAGACATGGTTAGATTTGTGCAGACATGCATGCTGTTGATCAGGGAGGTTTGACTGATAAGTACTTCTCAGATATTGGAAGAAACTTTCTTTGGGTTTTTTGTAAAGGGTTCACCGCAGAATCCAGCTTTAAGTGAAGTCAATGTTAGAGTGAGTTCAGGGTGTGTAGCATTTGTAGAGATGTTTCCTTGGCTTTTCTTGAGGGACAGTCAGATGATACTCTCTGCCACCCAAATAGTTTGTTGTATGTTGTACCTATCTTACTACATCCAAAAAGACAATGATGGACAAACACAGGACAGACTGAATGGTGGATGTGTAGAAAATGATCAGCTCTCCTCTGGAGTTGCTGCAGGAACTACAGTCTCTGTTGGACCTTCCTCTAAACAGGGTCTATGTATGAAAACTATCCAAGGTTTTGAGAAATGGAAGAGGATGAAGGATATTTGGTCTGATGGTATTGAAGGTTGAGAAGATGTTCACAAACAGGATCTTTGAGATGATGCAGGATGAAATGTTGTCCATGGTTGATTGCATTATCTACCAAACTGTTGGTTTGTAGGTAAACTGTAAGGGTTTCTGTAGGGGGGCCTGTGATCATCTTCAGACGCTTCAACATCTGTCAGTTTCTCAGACAGACACAAGCAAGTAGCTATTTCATTTTGTGATGGGTTTCTTGGGAGCCTGGGTGAAGGCAGAGTGTTTATTAAGGAGCTGTACACAGTAACTGGAGTCCTTTGACATCTTTTTTTTAGAATGTCACAGTTTCATCTGTTCTTAGGTTTTCCCAGTATACCATAAATGCACCATTTCCCTCTGCCTGATTATCCTAAGTGATTGCACCTGTTCTGCTGCCTATTTCTCAGTTTCTCTCCAGTAGCCTGCCATTGTCTTCAGCCCTGACTCAGAGTTCAAACCAACTGTCATCTCAATTATTTATCAGCCTTCTTGTGATGAAACCTGGACTGTTTCAGACCCTGCCAAAGCTGTTGCCCATTTGGAGTTAGTATGTCATCAGTCTACTTGGATTGCTTTGCAGTGTACAACCCCTGCTATCTCTCACTGTCTTGACTTGCCAATTGGATTTTGGATATTTGGATTCAGACTGCTGGACCTTCAGTGGATTCTGATTATTTAGGATGTTGAATTTTTGTCCCTTGATTTAGCTGATCTTCACTCATTTTGGATTCTGAGTTCATCTGAGGAAGCTATTCTCTTTTTTTCCGGAATATAAACTGGTTAACTGCTACCTTGGGTTGTGTCTTCCTGGCTCCATTCTGTTGTGGTACTAAACTTTACATAGAAATCATTAATCAAAGTAAGGGAGGTGTAGATGAGCTATTGTACAAATCAATCAATAGCATCTGAAATTTTGATTCACAGTTGGCTGGGACTTTAAAATGAAACCAGTAGTAGGATACTTCACTCTGAGGTAGTTTTGTATTGTACTGTGTCAGCGGTGGGTCTGTTTTTCTCTTTGCTGATTCATGCACCAATTTCCTCCCTACATTTTGCCGTTTCATCCCTTCCAACTTCCATTTAACTTCCTTTATCAAGACATTTATTGCTCAGATGAAAATATAGCATATCAGTCTGTTCCCTTTTCCTGTTTGCATGAAGTCATAGACACAAATCTAATGTTCTGTTTTCTGAAAACGAAGCAACACAATACTGATGTAGTGAATTTTTCATTTCTTTTGGTTCTAATTAAATCTGGGCAAAAAACAAACAAAAAAAGGCAATCAAATTCAATGTATACTGATTAAATTGACATAAATTTGAAATGAGCTTCAGTTGGTAGGAATATTACCTAATAGCACAGTTTGATTGGAACCTATTTCGAGCTACAAGAGAAAATTAGGTAAGTAAATCATACAATCAGTTTTTACTATTTTTTTTGGTTAGATTTAATTTTGTCTAACTGTTTTCCCAAGTCCTGATGGTTATAATTCAGATACCAGATATTTTATTTTTTGCCTGGGTTTGTCTTTTGGTCATTAGCTCTTGAGTCTGATGGTGTTTTCCTGAGATATAAACATGTTCTAATCTCTCTCTGTTCTGCTCTTGGCGTAGGCGGTCGCATTTTCCTGCTGCTCCTGTTCTTCCCTACTCTATCCTTGCTTTTTGCTGTGTCTTGACTTTCTGAGCACTCTCTTCATATCACCCGAATCGAACAATGGCTCATGGTCCGCTGGTCTCTCAATGCAATTGAAAAAAATAATCTAAACTGTAAGACAAGCTAAATGGGACCTGTCCTGTCCTGATGGGACATACTTAGTGAGATATACCCTGAATTCCTGGAAGGATTGGATAATGGTGTGTTTTACGATGCTGTCAGTTGAGGACGTGGAAGAAGTATACATGTTTGGATTTATGATACTCTGATTTGGATTTTAAGGATGCCTAATGTATATACAATTACAGAGGATGTTGGCTGCAATTTGGCAATGATTAGGCGGCCGGCAGCGGTTGACGTGCTCACAAAGGCTGTGAATGAGCAGGACCGGGAGGTAAGTCGTATGTTGGGTGCGATGGAATGCAAGCTGGCTGCAGTTGTTGAACTCAAATCAGGTAAAATTTTTGATGTGTACGCTCGCTTTAGGGCAGAACAAGCCCAACAAATTAGAAATATTGGATTGGCCATGTGGAGCCCAGCGACAAAGACTTCAAGGCTGATGAAAAATTCTGTGCAGCTTGCTCTCAAAACAAAAGTGTATTTATGATTTCAGCTCCAACTTCATCAAAACTCCCCTGGAACTTAAGGTGGAAGGGCCCTGAACTGCCGGCTCCACCCCCCCCCCCCCCCCTACCTGCGGACACCTGTGGATGCATTCAGAACTATAGCACCAGTTGATAAAACTACCATCTTATCAAGGACAATGGCCTTTAGACAGCAATCATGGACAAATTCGACACACTCACTCGCAAACACACAGCTGATGCTCAAATACTAGATAGACTGACTCCTAAGCCTCCAATGTAGGCCTGTGCTGAAATGTTTGTCTCGTGTTTAAATGTGCTTTTCTTGTGCCGAGGTGTTTTGATATCTCAAACTGTAGCCTCTCAAGGATAAAGCATATGTCATGCATGTGATGAACAGTTTGTACTAAAACTGTAAACTCGATTAAAATGCAAATTGAAGTTGAAAGACTAATTGATTGATTTGTTGAGTGATTGATAAATGTATAACGTACGTATATTGACTTGTTTGTTTCTTATGTGTCAAAACTATGTGATGAGATGGCAGCTGCTACTTGTGTAACTAAATGGAGCTGATGCTAGAAAGGGAAAACAACATGTTATCTTTCCATTCAGGTAGATGCCACAGACAGCGGATATAATACTGAGCGAGTTTGCGTATTATGTGTTCATTACCCAATAGGTCAATAACTGGCTCAGGCTCTGGTTTCGGTGGAGAGGAAACTTGCAGTGCAGGAGTAGTGGCAGCGGCAGCAGAAGGAGTAGGACTGGTGGTTGGAGCTGGAGATGTAAACGTATCTGAAAAGAAATGGGAAATCACATGATGAGAGGAATTCTAATGTTCTGTTATCAGGGAAAAATAAAAAGGAGGTTTTATTGGACTTCTTCTGCCTTTTCCTAAAGATTGAAGTAGATTTGCGAACATCAAGCAAAGGGAAACAAGAATCTCTGCCTCGTCTCCATGTCTCAACATCCTTGAAGTGTGCAGCGGTTCGAAACAGAGAACTAACCTGCATGTGCATGCAGACGTCCTTAGCATGCAAACTTATCTGTCTGCACCCCTCATAAAGGAAGGAAGAGATAAAAGGGATGCAGTGAAGACAAGGCAGCTTAACTCACCCGTCACAATGTCTCCAGCCGGAGCCGACTCGGGCAACGGAGAGGGCCCGCGAGAAAAAGCAGGTAGGTCTAAGTTACAAACGCAAGCAAGAGGCAGGACACGAGAAGGGAGAAAACCGAGGAGGTTGGGGAGCAAAGAAAAGCGTTAGCGTGGCAGGTTGAAATTAAAGACATTTATAGAAAGCAGCCACAGAAACAATCCAGTAGCTGACAAGTAGGTCACATGCACAGTTCTCATACCACTATGAGGGACAAGTCAGGACATGTGAGGGGGGAAAAAACACTTGACAAAGGAGAGTAACTATGGAAACCAGAGGAGGTGAAGAGGCTCCACAAACATAAAGAGGGACATCAACTCTTGTACCTGCACCAAAAAAGTCTACGCTAGGAGTGGTAGCAGCTTTGGATTCTGCGGTAGGGCTTTGCTCAGGCATTGAATCAAACATATCTAAGAACAAGGACAGACAATCACATGGACGTTCAGATTCAAGTCCGGTGCATGATGAGTTAAGAAGAGAGATGAGGGAAAGTAGAGAGAGATTTTTAAGATTAATTTCAAAGAGTAAGCAGCTGTTTAACTTTTCAGTGCAATGCAGTAGGAGAAAGTGCAAAGTTTAAAATGGAATATTGATTCATTTCAGCATAAGGACAAACGTCTACTAATGTTTGACAAAAGTTTTAGTCAGATATTATTTATTGTGTCCTTATCCCTTAAACTGTCCAACAGAAATAAGAAAACAGAATTTAGAGCCTGAGCTTCAGAAGAATGCACATCTTAAACAACCTGTAAACCTGTTTTTGCACAGACAGCAGATCTTAAAAGAATGTGTTGCATTTGCATTTCAGCAGATTGTGCAAAGTTTTTTTTTGTGCGTATGCCTTCATTACTAGATCATATTTGAAATGACAAAACAGTGCAAATTCATGAGTGGAGGATATGCAAATGTAGACATTTACTGTGGGAAAAGAGATTTTGAACTATGCAAACTGCAGTAAACATGAAATTAATATCATTGAATCTATTAAATTAGTTTAATTATTTATTTATTATAACCTCCAGCCACATGGCTTAGCATCTTTCCCTTCTTTTATGGCCACCTCAGATTGGCTGTAGGACATGCAATCCACTCATTTGAATGGAGCGGAACCAAATTCTCTTTTAAATCTTAAAATTAGTGCATTCATTTTTACAGATAACCAACGAAAAATATTGAAAATGCAATTTAGCACTACTTACTTGGAATCTTTGAAGATAAGGCCCTTAGCAAAGTTAAATATCCTTAACTAAAAAAACTTCCTGCAAGGAAAAGGCTAGGGAAATTTCTCAAATTGAATCTCTAGTGGGTGAGATCTCAGCTAAAATGTGTTCCTTTTCTTGGGAATGTTCTGACTGACTCTAGATCATTGTGTTTTTAAATGGTCTCTATCAGCAGTCTCAATGTAGCTCCACATCTGTGACGTCTGTGTTCAGGTGGCCACAATACCAACTCTGCCACAAACTCTTCAGTTTCTACAAATCCTGTTGTTAGAGAAGCGTAATATTTTTAAAATATTCAATTCACTTAAACTTTGCCCTGTCTTTTAATTTCCGCATTAATGCAATATAAGAATCATGTGAAAATATACATGGATTTTAACATTTTAACAAATAAGCGAAATAGGCACAGAATCAGGGCTGGGGCACTTATAGAACAATCAACACATATGCAGGTCAAAGACCAAGAATCACATTCTTTGGTGTCCTCCAGCTTTTCAATTCAATTCAGTTTATTTATATGGTGCCAATTCCCAACACAAGTCCTCTCAAGGCACTTTACAGTTCAACCTTTTAAACTAAAACTGGACTCACTTTCTGTAGGTACTTGCTTAGTGAATCAGTGACACAAAAACAACAGATGTTACGTGTACCTATTGTTAAGTGAGCTTTGTCTGCACTCAAAAGAACAAGGTCTTTCAGCACTCCATCACCCCCAAGTATTCATTTAATTAAAGAAGCCACTGGAACTCCTGTGAGCAAAACTATCCACTGTAAGATCATGTTAATTAGTCTTACAAGACAATGCCTAAAAAAGAGAAATGTGGAACAGTAGTCTGATTTATTTTAAATTGAACTCTAGCAGGGGCTGCTCAGTGCAGTGGGTAGCTCTGCTGCCTTGCAGCAAGTACGTTCCAGGTTCGATTCCTGGCCGGAGTCTTTTTGCATGGAGTTTGCATGTTCACCCTGAGCATGAGTGGGTTCTCTTTGGGTACTCCGGCTTCCTCCCACAGTCCAAAAACATAACTGTTAGGTTAAAGCATGGGCGTAGGTTTGCATAGGGACCATAGGGACATGTCCCTACCAAAGTTTTGAACCGACCTAATTGTCCCTACCAATAATTGGATGTGAGCAACATGTTTATAATTTACAGCAGTAGTTATTGCAGCAGTGGCTTCTTTTCCTCTCGCAGCTCCTCTGCCTGCTCTCTCCTGTCCCTTTCACGCAGCAGCGCATGGAACTGTGCTGCGCTGTTTAACTCAACTCTCATTGGTTGTTCTGCCTTAGGTTCCGCCTTCTCTCTCTCTGATTGGCTGTTTTCTAGTCCTGGTGTGCTTGGAGCACAAAATTGAAAATTTATTCACACTAGAATGCTGCGGTTACTACAATAAATATTAGGCTACAAAACTAGTCCCAATAAAAAAAAATGAATATCCTGTACACTAAAAAACAAAAACCTTTTTTTTCCTTTTATAAAGCGAAAATTCTGAGTCAGCCAGGAGTTCTGAAGACACAAAATGGGCAAATAAAGGCTGTAAGCCATCAACATTTCTGATTCTTATCCACAGCCAACTAGAAAAAGAAAAAGTTAGTGTTTCCTTTTTACCAATATTTAGTTGCTATTACTGGTTCCATTTTTTTATGACTCTTTGAGAAAGTTCAGGTATAATTATTAGCAGGTGTTATTTCTCTTATAGAGTACAACAACAAGAAATGGAGCCTAAACATCTGCTGTTTTTCGTTTAAAAAGCACAATTAGGGTTCCACATAATAATAGTTCTATTTTATTGACTATTTATACTTCTAGAAATAGGATAAAGACAAGAACAAAAAAAGGAAGAATATAAACATTGATTTTATCTTACATAGATTTCCACACAGTCTATAAGTAAATTAGTACAAACATTAATGTCTGGTAAAAATGCTGCTCAATCTGGCTGTTTATTTTGGATAATGTTAAATTACAGATAAGATAGTGTTATATTGTCTTTTATAATTGTTAAAAATTATTTTATATTTGAATACACTTAGGCTCATTCTTAGTGTTGTGTTTGTAGATGATGCCACTAAAAATAAAATAGACATACAGTAAGGAGCTATTTAAACAGTCAGACAGTAAGCAATATAGGACAATGATAAAAGGTTGTGTTACATTTAATCCTTTACTATTAAAATTGCACTTATACATTATATGATTATAGGAAACACAGATATCCAGTAATAATGATGCAGGGCAGCTTGTAGGTGAAGCAGCTGCCCTTCAGTGCTTCAGGTGATGTCTAAATAAACCAGGTGATACTAAAATATTTCCACATGAGGAGTACTGGATGGAGAATATTGACAGACAAAACATTTTTTTTAATCTTATATATTATATATATATATGTATATGTATATGTATATATATATATATATATATATATATATATATATATATATATATATATATATATATATATATATATATATATATATATATATATATATATATATATATATATATATATATATATATATATATTGTATTTTTACAATTTTGGTATAATTACTGATCTAAGTGGATTGCTCTGTAGGGGAAAGGGACATTTTACATTTATATTATGTTTTATAGTCTCCATTCTCCAGTTAATGATGAATCACTCACTAAATTAGTTGATGATTATTGAAATAATCAATTATTGCGATTAATTTTTTCAGCCCTAGATAAAATACATGAATGGGCTATACAGAGTAACTACAGCCCAGATGTTCAACTTTTATAGTGAAGTTAATATTTTAATGAATGTATTATTTTTGCTTGATACAGAGAGAGAATAGTAGGTACAAATATAAGAGTGGGGTTTAACTCTGCACAATTGTATATCTTCAAAAGAAAATACTGTATTTACCTTCTCTAAAAGTCATGCAAATGAAACCATTTACAAAGTGGAAAACAGTCCTAATTCCACATTCATCAGAGCCGCCGATACTTCAAACAAGCATCTAATGAGTGTAGAGCTTATAACATTTTTATTAATGTAGCAAAATTATGCTTTTCTCTTTTAACAATGAATTTGTCTTATCAGTACGGATGCTCACATCGAGCATAAAAAAGGGCACGCATATTGCAGCACCAATGACACCCGACCAATAGTGTCCCTACCAAAGTTCAAATCAAACCTACGCCCTTGGGTTAAAGGCACACTAAGCAACATTTTTCAGTTAATTAATGTGTTCCATAACATTATGGATGATTAAATGAGTCATTTCAGGTTGAACAAAGGTATTCTCGGCCGCCCTGGTGCTCTGTGGGGGAAATACTGCACTTGCAACTGCAGGAGCACCGACCCGCACCCACAGGCTCAGAAGTCTCGTGAGAGTCAGTCTTGCTTTACGGCGAGAACTGCTACACCCCCCAGTTAAAAGCATGCTCGTTGCTAGCACAGTGGCAATCTTTGTGCAGTAATGCTACGTTCACGCAGCAAAAGCACGTCTGCTGCTTCATTTTTGCTGCTTGTACCAGTTTGTTCTGACGCGCGGCTGAAGCAGCTTTGCTGCTCTGGCTTCGCGGTGCAAAAGTGTGTCTGAGGCGCATTGGGCGGAGCTTCACTATCCTTTCTCTACCTTGCAGCTATATTTGCTGTGATCAGTGGGAATAAAGTAGTTTTAATATGTGTTTAAGTGAGAAAATACACCTGAAAACGTAATCAGTGCAGTCAGTTCATTCAGATTATTATCCTGCCTTCAATATTTTTTCTGTCGGAGCCGCTCAGACCCCCACATACCAGGGATGCGCCGACAGAAGGAACCCCTTCATCAGCAGCGGTTCACCGCGGCAGCTGGTAGGTGTTTTTCATCTAAATAATCCAAACTGCATATTCTGCCGGCAGATTTCTGCATTTTAAGTTAATTTAGGCGTCAATAAACTGTTTAAGAGGAGAGATCATCAGCGCTGTGTCTCTCTCCCTGCGTTAAACGCGCCCGATGCGCTGCTTCAGCTGCTCAGACGTGCTGCGCCTGCTGCTCAAAACGCGCCGCTGGACCTTTTGCTGCGCCTTGACGCGCGTCAACCATTGACTTTGCATGTAAACTCGCTGCTTCTGTCGCGCCAGCTACGTCCAGTGTGAACGCAGCATTAGTCATTCGCTGCTAAGCTCAAAACAACCGCGCCTGGCTTGACGGAGAAACCAGGAGAACAGCTGAGCATATTTACGACAGTGCACTTTTACTTTCGCCCTCTGGGGGGAGCCTCGCTGGAAAATCAACACCGGTTGCATAGTGTACCTTTAATTGGCTTCTCTAAATTCTCCTTAGGTGTGAGTGTGTGCATGGATGCTTGTTTGTCTCTGTGTTGCTCCACGATGGACTGGTGACCCGTCCAGGGTGAACCCCTCCTCTCGCCCGTAGACAGCTGAAGCACCCCTCGCGACCCCAGCAGTGATAAAGCGTGACGGAAAATTGATAAAACTAGCACTTTTTTATTTTACAAGGAAGTTGTCAGTGGTAGTGAAAGAAGGCAGCAGTTTTGTGTCTGTCTCTGCAATAATAAAAGAGAACTTATGATGTGAATGATGTCAAATTAATATTTCCATCTCTACTGTTTTCACTTGATGAATTGAGAGTGTTGGTGTGGTGTTATGTTTTTTACATTACAAGTGCAAAATGTGAAGTTTACAGATTGGTAATTTTATAGTGAAAACTGTCTTAACTACAGTGTAATCTTATCATATTTCCAAACTCACACATTTCATATATTTGTTTCTTACTCTTTTTCCAATCAAATAAACATCAAGTTCATTAATATATAATCCAATATCCATTGTTCAGAGGTATGAATTTAGTTTTACGTGTTTAAAGAACCCAAATGCTAAAATCAACCAATATTCCATTTGAACTCAGATGCATAAGCTACTAACAGGCATTCTCAGAAGGATCTTAGGTTCTAATAACTATGATGAGAAGAAAACGGTTTTCTTCCCTGAGACATTTGGCAAACAGTTAGTATTCAGTCAAGAATCAAAACAAATTGACTTCCCTCTGTTTATAAGATGACATTAACATTTATGCCCCAACAAAATCTGACTTTATTTTGATCCTAAAAAAAGAAATTCAATCCTAAAACAAAGATTAAATGTTTCTTTGTACTTTTTTGTTTGTTTGTTCTTTCATATAGATTTTTCTAGCTATAACAGAGGCAGTCAAAGTGCTTGATTAGCTGAAGAAAGAACAAAAAAATAGAAAAACAAATCTGAAATGTAGGGGCTTGTTAAATTATCACTGGCACTATCAAGATAACCATTAGCAAGAACAACACAGTCATATTCATCTAAACCTTCATCAATGGTTGCCATAATGCAGGTCAGTGCAATGAGAGACATAATGAGAGTGAGAGGACATTACCACCAAAGAAATCTAGAGTCGGGGCAGCTGCAGACTCTGTGGTGGTGGTGTCGGTGGTGGTAGTAGTGGAGGAAGGAGCAGGAGAAGCGATTGGGGCGATGATGGTCGGCGCTTCGCTAGAGGTGGGAGGAGTGATGGCAGAGGAAGCCTCCGTGTCGGCAGGTTTCATGGCGAACAGGTCCAGCTCTGGAGCAATGCCGGCACTCCCCTCCGTTGTAGCAAAGGGGTCTTTGGGAAGAGCAGCGTGGTTTGGTGTTGACAGGTTAAAGGGGGTTATGATTAGAAACAAGGAAAAAGGCGGCTTAGGATGGGTGAGAATAACATTTATATTCAAAAGCATGGTTCTGCAAAATTCCAAATGAATCATTAGACTTTTATCAATTATGAGGAGTGACTTTGTGACTTAGTGACTTAATCTAATTTTAGTGCATGGTAGAAGTATGCCAGACTCTGTGAAGTCTGGTAGAGTTGGGTAAAGGAGGACAAAGCTTTGACAAGGAAAAAAAAAAAAACGACGTGACTTACTTAACTGTCCCACATTGTCCTCTTTCTTTAGTGTATTTTTGCCAAGAAAAATATCATATACAGGAGATGGGAAGTGGATTTCCCTTTTCAATAGAACAGAAGTTTTTACAGCCTTTGCCTTTGCTTAGAGTTCAGCTCGGGTTGATCCTGTTTTTACTGGTAACCTGTTAGCTGCCTCTACTACTAAACTGAAGTCAACCTGCTGTAAATTCACCCAGTTAAAAGTTTTTGTTTTTTTATATAAAGGAACAGACTTATCTCTATAATTCTCAAAGTTGAAGGTGGATGCCAGAGTAGGGACCAAGTAATTGAATCAAGGAAACTGTCTGCAGAGGCTGTAAGACTTGCTTTATCTTCAGACTTGGCTCAAGCAGACACAGCGGAACATCCTAAAAATTTATATGGTTTAATCATTAGTAAATCAAACAAATTTGTAACCACCATGATCCTTCTTAGATCTGACTGGAGAGGTGACAAAAAACCCACAAACCAATTTGATGGCATTATAGTGCTGTATTTTGAATATAGGAAAACCATCCAGAAGCTCAACCATTGCTAACCCTAACCCCACTGCACTTGCATCTTGCTTGAATTTTGCTGAAACTCGAAGATATTGTAAGACCACGAGATTTAAAGATGCAAATCTCTGGTCTAATGAAATTAAACCAGGTCATTTAGGAATAAAAGCTATGCATAATATGTGAAGAAATCGAGGTATTGCTTATAACCTGACAGACATCCTCACTAGTCCAAAGCAATTGTGGTGGCAGCTACCATGTTTAGAAACACAAGAGCATTTAGCCAGAATAACAGATCTGGGCACAGCTAGTGCCGAAACGAATCCATTTTGTGCAAAGCTCAGAAAAATGTGCCCAACAGTCTTGAAGCTTTTGCTGTTGCAATTTTTCTTTTTTTTTTCTTTTTTTGTCAGCGTTTTTAAATAAAACAAAGTGAAAAGTATGGCAAAAACTAAATATATAGTATCTGTTGCAGAATAAGTCTGTAACAAAAAACAGCGATTTTATTTCTTCTAGTTAGCATGGGATATTTATAGCATTTTAAACAAACAGAGTTTCTGATGTTGCTTTAGTTGCTTTTACTTGTTAACTATAAAAAAGTTTCCTTTAATCACTTTATTTTTATATAAACTTCAAGGGAAAGACTGAAAATCGGACTCAAAAGTTGTGTATAGTTATGTAACAAGCTAACAGTATTTCTGGTGGCATAGCGCAAACAAAAATAATAATTTACAAAGTATGCTATTCCATGATCAAAGTAGTAATTTGCCATATTGTAAGGTGTCATACCTAGCAAGAGGAGATGACCCCTCCAACCTTTCCTAAACCCAAGGAAAACAACCCGCTTGTTAGATTTATTGACACAACAGCTAAATTTACTGGTTATACACGTCTTTGATTATTTGTCAATAACCCAAGGACAGTATGAGGAAAACATTAATATTTTGAGATTCACACAAAGATTCAATGCAGCCATTCATCAATGTAATCATATACAGGTGCTGGTCATAAAATTAGAATATCATGAAAAAGTAGATTGATTTCAGTAATTCCATTTAAAAAGTGAAACTTGTATATTATATTCATACATTACATACAAACTCATATATTTCAGATGTTTATTTTGTTTAATTTTGATGATTACAAATGACAACAAATGAAAATCTCAAATTCATCATATCAGAAAATTAGAATATTACTGAAGACCAATAAAAACAAAGGATTTATAGAAATGTTGGCCAACTGAAAAGTATGAACATGAAAAGTATGAGCATGTACAGCACTCAGTATTTAGTTGGGCCTCCTTTGGCCTGTATTACTGCAGCAATGCGGCGTGGCATGGAGTCGATCAGTCTGTGGCACTGCTCAGGTGTTATGATAGCCCAGGTTGCTCTAATAGTGGCTTTTAGCTCTTCTGAATTGTTGGGTCTGGTGTATTGCATCTTCTTCTTCACAATACCCCATAGATTTTCTATGGGGTTAAGGTCAGGAGAGTTTGCTGGCCAATTAAGAACAGGGATACCATGGTCCTTCAACCAGGTACTGGTAGCTTTGGCACTGTGTGCAGGTGCCAAGTCCTGTTGGAAAATGAAATCTGCATCTCCAAAAAGTTGGTCAGCTGCAGGAAGCATGAAGTGCTCTAAAACTTCCTGGTATGTGGCTGCGTTGACCCTGGACCTCAGAAAACACAATGGACCAACACCAGCAGATGACATGGCACCCCAAACCATCACTGACTGTGGAAACTTTACACTGGACTTCAAGCAACGTGGATGAAGTGCCTCTCTTCTTTTCCTCCAGACTCTGGGACCTTGATTTCCAAAGGAAATGCAAAATTTACTTTCATCAGAGAACATGACTTTGGACCACTCACCAGCAGTCCAGTCCTGTTTCTCTTTAGACGCTTCTGACGCTGTCTGTGGTTCAAGAGTGGCTTGACACAAGGAATGCGACAGCAGAAACCCATGTCTTTCATACGTCTGTGTGTGGTGGTTCTTGAAGCACTCACTCCAGCTGCAGTCCACTCTTTGTGAATCTCCCCCACATTTTTGAAGGGGTTTTGTTTCACAATCCTCTCCAGGGTGCGGTTATCTCTCTTGCTTGTACACTTTTTTCGACCACATCTTTTCCTTCCCTTCGCCTCTCTATTAATGTGCTTGGACACTGAGCTCTGTGAACAGCCAGCCTCTTTAGCGATGACCTTTTGTGTCTTGCCCTCCTTGTGCAAGGTGTCGATGGTCGTCTTTTGGACAACTGTCAAGTCAGCAGTCTTCCCCATGATTGTGTAGCCTATAGAACTAGACTGAAAGACCATTTAAAGGCTTTTGCAGGTGGTTTGAGTTAATTAGCTGATTAGAGTGTGGCACCAGGGGCCATCAATTTTGAACCTTTTCACAATATTCTAATTTTCTGATATGATGAATTTGAGATTTTCATTTGTTGTCATTTGTAATCATCAAAATTAAACAAAATAAACATCTGAAATATATGAGTTTGTATGTAATGTATGAATATAATATACAAGTTTCACTTTTTAAATGGAATTACTGAAATCAATCTACTTTTTCATGATATTCTAATTTTATGACCAGCACCTGTATAAATAGTTCTTTAACAGCGGCCTGATTATTTTTCACTTAATTGGGCATTACATAACATGGATATGTGTTTCAGGTGACATTTGTGTTAAAAGTGACATAGGATTACTGTGACAGAAAGTTATTTTAGGAGACTCCAAAAAGTTTAGAGCTCTGAATCCTAACTTCTAAAATCATGAAACAAGATGAAAAGGTTTTGCTTTCCACATTGCAACAAATTCATCTAGAAGATTTCCAGAGTTTTTCACAGAAATGTATATATTTAACCATGTTGCATGGTATATATATCAATCTTTTAGTAGCTTCAAAAGGGTGTGCAAACAAAGAATGGTTTTAATTTGTTTGCACTTGCAGGTTTATCAGAAATTATCGGCACTGTAGGTCAAAGAGAGTAAAGTTATGGAGTTATTCAAACCATAAAAACAAAAACCGGCTCAGCAATGATTAGCATCATCATTTCCATCTAATATTGTCATTGTTAGTGATACTAAGATGGATGGTTTTCATTTTTATGAAAATATTTAGCATTCTGGGAGAAAAGTTTACTGCTAACTTAATAGAAGGGGTGCAGGAGAGATGGAGGAGGAGAGGGTCCATGACTGGGGCTTTAGCAGGATTTGGGGTGAGACAGTAGCCCTGGTGGAAATGGTTTGTCCTACTGTCTCCTAGAAAGCAGTGGCAGCTTTAGCAAATCAAGAGCAAGGAGTCTCAAAACATCCGCGCATATATATGCTCAAACATCCACACCACCACACAGTCGCACTGAAAGCCGTTTTGTGACCCACCAGATCCACTAAATGCATCAGCAGCGGGGCCCGCGGCCACGGCAGCAGGACCGTCTCCTGGGGAAGGTGCAAACGCATCTAGGGGTATTGCAGATGCAAAAAAGCAGAGGGTAACACCCGGGGACATACAACAAGACACATGGACGTACAGAACAGAAGATGAGTCAACAGATGAACAGGACAGGAAAAACAAAAAAAATGAGAGGTCAGTGTCAGGAAAAAAAGGCTGAGAATACAAGAAATATGCAGCCTGGTTCATTAGAGTGATTGATTGGACTGCATCATCGATCACATGATGAGTTTAGGGAGGTTGGTGGTGGGGGCTGCATAGTGCTTCCTGTGCCCCACTACCTTGAGTGGTGAAGCTAGTTGTCACAAGTTGCTGGGACTGTGTGACAAGAAGATGTCAAGTTAGGGGATGGAAAAATCATGGTCTCTCTTTGACAAAGAAGCAACTTTTTTCAGTTGTCATTAAGCCTTAGGTTTTTTTTTTTTTGTTTTTTGTTTTTTTGTGTGGAAAGGTGAGACATAAAATCAGACGGAAACTTCCAGCTCTTGCATTTTGAAAAAAAAAACTTCTGGTGAGTTAATATGAATAGAAGTATTTCAGAAATGTTAAAAAAGCGTAGAATACCAACAGATAAGTGGCATAAAAATTATATTTAAATAGCTAAACCTATCTCTGCCTATATAAAATATAGAAAGTAAACAGAAAGATGGACTGTTTATCTGCTAATGTGACCAGTGTGCTGTTTGGTTTAGAGCTGTATGCCATGAAGAAGAGATGTCAGCAGTGACCTTAGTTATGGCTTATCAAGTTCTCCCTCAATTGTCAATAGTCTTAAATTCTTCAGTGTTATTGTAAATAAAGTTTCCAGTTTTCCAAATAGTGAAGGTGTCAGCATATTTATAAACAAGTTGGGTCACTTTATCATGAGACAAAACTGTAAATAACCCAATGGTTTTAATGGTTTAAATCAGCAATATTAAAGTTTAGAAGAAAAATAAAACTTTTAAAAGGACTCCTGCACACGGTCCAACTTGCTTCAGAAGACATTTATTTGCAATGTTTTAGTACTAGATCTTCATTAGGGAAAGTTTTTTTTTTATTTAAAGTGAAATAATAAAATAACAATACAGCAACATGACAATTCCCATTCTTCTTTTTTTAAGATAGATCTGACATTAAAAACCCTATTAAACAGACATTTCTTGATGCATATTCATTACTTTGATATAGATTATTTAAGCTACATAATTGTGAGGTTTTTGGATGTAGAAATAATCATGTTTACTTAAAATAAATACTAATGAGTTTTAAAAACACAAACTTTATTTTTTCAATTACATAATAACCCAGTTACTTATTAAGTTAGTTATTTATGCAATTCAAAGAATACACTTCATGTACTTGAAAAAAATGGGTATCAATTTGTATTACTGTAGTATTCATTAGTATTCATTTGGAGTAATTATATTTCATTAATACTAAGTATATAAAACTGATGATTATGTATTTCTAATATAAGCTTTATTATGGAAATTGCATATGCATTTTTTCAATAGGTGTGTTCTCAAATTATATAAAAAACAGGAAATCAGAATTTGTTATAAAAATTACTAAATTCTTCACATTGGGGTAAATTGTTTTTTGATGAGTGTAACAAATTAGACTAGAAATGCTCAGTCTTATAGCAGAAAACCTAAAGCAGGTTATCAGCACAAACACCTCAATGCAAAAAATTAAATACAAGTAAATTATTATAGAATAGGTATATTTTCCCATGATTTAAACTGGTAAATCAGAAAATCTGCCAATGGAATAAGATTATTCATGTTTAAAATAGGATCTACTTTCAAGGTCAGTAATACTATTTCCATTGCCAGATAATGCTACCTGCTCAAATTGATGACAACTACACTTATTTAAAAAAATCTTCTACTAATTTTGCAGGAGGTGTTGAAGGTGTGTTGGTTTGGGCTTGGTTTTCAGCCACTGGATCAGGGCACCAGGCGCTGATCCGCCATTTTTTTTTCCTTCACTCTAGAGCAGTGTTGTTTTTGTCAACGATGATAAAATGATTCCTTGGACGCTCCTTTTTTTCATAACGCAAACTAACAAGCTAACCGTGGATCTTTGATGACAAAAATATGACTCATGGGTGTGAGTTTTCATCAACGAGATGACATTAAATAAAAAAGTTAGTGGGTGGTCGGTCAGACGTTTAAAGTGCATCATTGTGCTGTAATCTGTTAGACAAGCTAAGCAGTATCAACCATGCTGCTGTGTCCGGTTTGGTCATGCCGCCCTCCGGGCACGCAGCTCTGCTCTTTCAGCTGTGCTTGTGCAGAAATCCATCTTTGTGTGCGTTTAGCTCAGAGCCTGCGCTTTATGCTCCACACTGATGGTTCTTACTGTTCTCACTACTTAATAAACTATATGTGGCTGATCATCCTCTGTCAAGTGTGAAAAGTCCTTTTGTTTAACTATCAGGAATTTATTTCTTTCAGCTCACAAGAGGTAATACAAAACCTTTCATTTCTACAAAAAAAGAATCCCTGAATTATGTCCAAAACATATATTTAATTGCATACTGTTTATTTTTGGATAAAGAGCCAAATGCTTTTTTGGAATAATGATGATTGGTTAATCTGTGTGGAATGCGTATTTCATAGTAAATTAGGAAGTGTTTGCTTTGGGATGGAAACCTTGTCTAAAACTATTCCTTTTATTGTAAATTTTATTAGCTTGTGAGATAAATTAACCAAAATAATGTCTTGAACTAGAGCTGCTATTTTCACAACTTGTGTATAAAGTAGGGCATTAACTCATAAAAAAAGTTTATTTGAATTCTAGAAATAATTTTTCTGCCCAACAGCAATGATGAACTGCATCTACGCTAGAACTGTCAGTGTGGTAAATAATCTGGTTGTTATTAGAAATTGTAAAGGTTCACTTTTTTTTCCAGGCGCAACATAAAACTGACTAAAACTAGACTACAAATTTTTGGAGTTTTAAAACTATCACATATAGTAGTGACTAAAATGTGACTAAAACTAATAAAAGCTTTCATCCTGAAGACTAAATCTATGATAGCTGTCAAAAACAACTCTGCTCTAGAGTCAGGTGTAATACCCTTCATTTTGACGGCATCAAAACTTGGGCATTAAAGCAGTGAGGTGTAAAGAATGGGGTAATGTGAGAGACTCATCAAGTCATACAAAGTGCAGTTACTTTCATGTTTGAGTGCTTTTGCTGTTTATCTATAATAGAACCTGTTTTTCATCTTTATCAAATACGAAAAAGTTGCTGAAATTACTGATTGTATAATAGCACCAAGCAAAAATTATAAAAAAAATAAGATTAAAAAAAGTTAATTAAAAGGACACATTTGTATTTTACCACGACTGCATAACACTGTATGACTCCATAATGTTGTTTAAAGCCATGCTGGGCTATACCCAGTGCTACACTGACCTCCAAAAAGGTCGATGTCAGCGGCTGAGGCGGCAGCAGGAGCAGGAGCAGAGATAGGCAGTGATGTGGGTGGCGCCACCGGTGCAGCTGCAGCAGCAGTGGTAGCAGAAGCGGCTGCAGGAGCAGCGACTTTTGCAGCTGGAGGAGCAGCGACTTTAGCGGCTGCAGGTGCGGCAGTGGCAGCAGGGGCAGCAGCGCCTGCTGCAGCTGCATTAGCTGACTTTCCATCTGCTGCAAGAGCTTGAGGTGCCCCATTGGTAGCAGCTGGGGCAGCTATGTGATTGCACCCCATAGTCCAATCGCCAGACCCAGTCACATCCCCCCAACAGACGCATAGAAAAAGGAGGGGTAAGAAAATAGAAGAGAAACAACTCATTTGAAGTGAATGAAGGTTAAAAGTTACTGTGCAATGTTTGGTAAAATAGTTAGAGAAGAGATCAACCAATGGCCGTAAAGACAAACTTCAAAAGAGAAAATAAAGAATTAACCTGAAAAATCTGTGGTACCATTACTGGAAATACAATACTCACCCTCTGCCAAGAGATCTACAACACAGCAAAAAAAAAAAAAAAAAGAAATGATAAATAAGTGAATGAATAAATTGTCAAAGAGGAAAATCATGAGCTTTACCCTGCAGAGCAAGCAGCAAAACCCAAGTGTGACTAAAATAACAGCATTGCACACAGATCGATATTGACCTGAGAAAGAAAACTCATTTCGTTTAAGACCTTTTCTCTCTTTGTGAAGCTCATATTATCAGTCTAGAGGTTTTGATTTATAGAGGAACATTAGTGCAAAGAAAACAATTTCTGACACTGTGACAACACACATTAAGATATTTTATTGCAAAACCTGCTCTCCAACTGTTACTTCTACTGCCATGTTAGCTGGGCTACTGGAACACAAGAGATACAAATTGGTAACTAAAGAGGATTTTGTGGAACATCAAGCTCATAGGTTTAAAAAGTGTGTCATATAGTAGTAGCCATTCAAAATCTTCCCACTTTTCTTTATGGGTCCTTGCCTGGTCCCCTACATCAATCTTTGTACATTCTGTCATGATTTGAGGACATTAAGAGCTAAAGAGAAGCATCATCTCCTAGTCAGAACCTGTAATTCAGTGAAAGGGTGGAGTCAGAGTAAAACAATGCACGCCCAGGAGAAGGCCAGTGGCTTGAAGTGGGCCACCATTCGGCTTCCGTTTGACTGGTAAGGGCCATTTTGAATGGCTGCTACTGTAGCATGTTTTACTGTGTCAGTACCAAAGTGTTGGCATTAGAGTTATGTCACTAGAACCAGGCCACACTGCAAAAACTGATCCACAAATGAGTCAGTGTCAAATGTTTTTTTTGCCTTAATCTGAGAAGCTGATCTGCCAATGTAATGGAGACTTTTGCTCATCAAATTAATAATTTTATTAATTAATTTGAACTTATTTTCAATAAATTATTACATGTTTTTTACATTGTCACTTTGCACTGGATTTAGCTTATTCCACAGGCAGATTGATTTACTTCCATCCTTAAATCAAGGAAAAATAAACTTATTTTAAGAAAATTGTACTTATTTAATTTTTGCAGTCCAATTGTGTATGAAATATTTTCACACTGTCAAAAAAAGTCAGTAAGTTCACTGCAGAAATGATGTAAGAGTAAGTAAACATTTCTTCAACTTTGTTTGCCCTTAATGTGAGCAGGTAATTTAGTTGATCTGCAAATGGAATGACTATTTTGTCCTTAGAATAAGATCGTTTGATAGTATCAATTTGAAATAAGTTAATTAGTTTTTTTCTCCTTTTTTAAAAGTAAATAAACTAGTTCCATTTGCAAACCGTCTTACTTAAAAAAAAGTTAATTAGATTTCATTTTTACAGAGTTAGCTGGTGCTCAGTGTGCTACAGAGATCAAACTGTTGTGAGGCAAAGCTGGAATGTCATTGCATCTCACTATCCCACTGAAATGATTAGCAACATTGTAAATAGGGTGCAACAATTTAATGTTATAAAACACGATTGCACAAAAAACAGAAACAGCAGAACTGTTTCATAAAGAAAATGTCAAATTAAATCTATGAATGTGTCTACATAAAGAAAGTCTGACTTCTTGCGGTACAACAAACTTTCATTAATTGCATGACCATCATAAAGCATTGCTTAGGCTAGAGAGCCTGGTTCATTTTGCTTTTTAGTTTTCTGTGATAGGAAATATGAAAATATTTTTACAAATGGCCTCTAAATTCAGTGTGAGATAGTGGTCTATCTGGTATAAAGAGATCTCACCTCCCCAGCCCGTCATCGAGGATGTTGCTGCTGCACCCACTGCTGAGGAGGACGACATGGGGTCAAGATCCAAAAGAAACCCGTCGTCAAGAGCGCTGAACATTGTGTCAGAGAGAAGAAAGGGATGTTATAGAGTTTATTTCTGATAAAATAGCAATACAACCTTTACAGTGTTGCTGAGTGACTCCTACTTGCTGGTGATGGTGGGGGCAGGGGCCGGCGCGGTGGGAGTGACAGAAGGTGGGGGGGGTTTTGCTGGCGGCCCAGGTCGAGCCGGTGGCCCGCCGGCTGCGGCAGGAGGAGCAGGTTTGGCAGGTGGTGCAGCAGCTGCAGGAGTACTGTTGTTGGCTGTTGCATCCTGGCGCAGAGTAAGTGCAACAATAGATGTTAAATAATAGTTATAGAGTCTGATGGAAGTCAATAGCTTCCCAATAGCAGCAAATCACTTCCAATCTGCATAAAGAACTGCAAACATGAAATGTTTTGCTTTAAGATCTCATTCCAGCTGAATTTTGATTCTAACCATCTTAAACAAGAATTAAGGAGAAATTCTTACCTTAGTGGGTGATCTGCAAGACAATGATGGCACAAAAGTTAGAGTTTAGTGATGTATATCTGTCATAAAGGCTGTTTTTAAGGCAGCAGAGTATCTATCACTTAGTGCAGTCAGGTTTAAAACATTGACAAACGTTCACATTAATACGTTGACGTTCGCCCTATGCTGGATGAGTACTAACAGCACCTAAGCTGTGGAAACTGTTTTGATTGACAGAAAAAAATCAAAGTGAGATTTTCAGATAACATGCAAAAATAACATTTTAACTGTTAGGACTGATTGGTGAATCAAAATAGGGTAGTTAGGAGGATAAAAAGCAAAGAACAGCACTACTCTTTGTAATACATTTTACAGGATGATTAAATTTGTGACGACAATACTTCCATAGAAATGCATCTACAATAAAACAAATGAATGCTATGTTCAGATGCCATTACTATGGAACCACTGAAAGTTGACTTTAAGAACAAAGATGTTGACACCCTTTGAAGTCTTCCCATTTTATAACATTGAAATAACACAGATTATTTAAACATAAGAAACATAAGAAGGTGGCTTCCTTCTTATTTTTAGTGGAGGATCAAACTTCTAGGTCTCTAGAATACTTCTCATAGGTTCTTCCTGTGAACATGATTGATTGATGAGTCCTTCTTGAGATGTTTAACCCTCAGGAAGATGCTTGTCCAGTCATTTTCAGCTGAGAGACTGGGTACACCTGGAACAGGTGACCAGTCCATCGCCATTTAACACAACAATCAATTACATGTGCCGACTTATACCTACAGTAATTTAGAGCAATGACCAAAAAGTCAATTTATTGTGTAAAAAAGGTAGCGTAGCAAGAGAAAACCCACAGGTGCACAAGGAAACCATGCAGAATACTAATGCTTAAAACCGGACCCTTATTACTGAGAGATAGTAAGGTCAACCATGTCTCTGCTGTGCAGTTAGATCAGCTACATGTAGATCTGCAATCAAATTTCTTATAGGTGGGTTTTTCTTTACCTATTGGGTAGCTTCTAATCTAGAGGCTAGGTTTGCTGCACTGGGATTTTCATCAGGTATGTCGGATGTGAAAACCTGTTTTTCCTCAGCCTTATTGGGGTGAAAGGAAGGCTAGGAGTGATAAAAGACAAGTGTTTAAAGTGTCCTTATCCTCCCTCATGGCGAACGGAAGACAACTATGTATGTTCATGATGAACTGAAGTTTTTTTCCGCCAAATGGTCATGTGTGAGAAAGTCTTTTGTATGCAGGGGTGGGTTGGTTTCCCTTGGGAGAGTGTGTGTGTGTGTACTGGGAGTTGTTGTACAAATGTATATACTGAGCTTGCCCCAGTCAGAGCTTTTTCCTCTCCTTCTGCAGACGTAAAATAGATCTGTGTTTTTCTTGCAAGAATTGCCTTTGCCTCAGCTGCCTAACTCCACACAGATTGAATGTAAAGCATTTTTTGCTTTACTTTACCAACATTTATTGGGCTTCACACACAATCCCAGTGAAACCCACCAAAAAAGATGGGCGTGAGATGAGCAAATTGAAAAGGTTCCAGGTCCACGGCTGTTTTGCAAGGGAGTGTGACTAATGATCCAAATGATGATGATGGTTTTAACACCTTTTCACATTAATAATATACTCACTTGTCTTCCCTGATGTCGGTTAAGGTAGGAAGATATAGCAAAAAGAAGATCAAAAATGTTTTGGGAATCTTGAAAGAGAGGGCTCATAAAACAAGAGCAGAGCTTATTAGATGTATTGAACTACTTACGGCTTCTTCCCCTCCAAGGTGTTGAGATGGGTCTCAAGAGATTCCAAAAGACTTTCCGGGGCCTGAAGAGAAATTAAAAAGAATGACTATTAATCAATCAGATGCAGGGACGTTGCACTAAATGCTTAATGTAGGTATGCCCCCTGCATGTAGAGAATGAAACTTCCACAAAAGGATAGGATTTTTATTCTGTATATCAGGGTTGAGCAATGCTAGTTTACTGAGGGCCGGTATCCTGCAACCTTTAGAGGTCCTTGGTCCAACACACCTGAATCAAGTAATTAGATGATTGAGAGGACTCTGGAGGAAAGGATTGCAGAAACTAAATCTAAAAGTTGCAGGATACCGGGTCTCAGGAACTGGAATCGCCCACCCCTGCTGTATATTATGGTGCATTGCATCAGCTTCCGAACTAAGAAGTCAGAGTGATGGAGCTCTAAGGCAGGGATTTTGGAATTCCAGGTCCCGATGGCTGGTATCCTGCAACTTTTAGATTCACTCTTTGTCCAACACACCTAAATGAAATGGCTGAGCTACCTCTGCAGTATGCAGTCGTTTCCTCCAGAGTCCTCTCAATCTTTGAATTACTTGATTCAGGTGTGTTGAACCAAAGGCCTACCAAAAAGTTGCCGGATACCAGCCCTCAGGAACTGGAATTGCCCACAAATGCTGTGAGCTAAACGCATTCCAATTTTCCAGTTGTGGACACTTGTATTCCTCATTGTTAGCATTTCGCCACTACAGCTATTGTTACAACTATAACAATGACAGAAACTGTCATGCAGTTTGTTTGGATTTTTTTTGGCTGGCTGGCTGTTTTCCACTCTGTTAATTAGAGTAAGCAGATGCACTTCTCTTACTCCTAATCACCCTAATTTTTCCCAGCTGTTACTCTAACTATCAATACCTGCCTCTCTCAGTCAGTCTCCCTCAGATTGTCTCCTTGCCTCCATGAGGTTTTCTTGTGTTTCTGTGCTCATCCTGCCATCTCTTTTCAGGTTTTCTTGTCTAGCTATCATGTTCTTCCTTAAGCCTGTCAACATATCAGCCTGTTACCAGCCTGTTCAGCCATTTTCTGCCTTTACAATCTGCAACTAATCTGTTGTGTCTAACATCAACATGTCTGCCTCCGTCCCCTTAACTCCCCAGCGTTCTATAGACCTTTTAGGTTCAAACACTTCTCTGTCCATTTTTAACAGATTCTTGTCTAGGCTTGTAACGAACACCCTGTTCTTCACTGTATTATTTGCATTTAAATGTTTTATAATATAATAAGTGAAAACAGGATGCGTAAAGTGGCACACAAATAAGGAAGAACTGCTAAAAAAAAAGGTTGAATTTGTTGGGATCCTCAGGCTTGCCCACCAGAGGGCGCCGAGGATCCTCTTCTGCTCTCTTTTTGTCTCTTTGTCTTAGGGCTGGAGTCACTCTCAGGTTCTGGAGATTACCCTCTGCCTCCAGCAGAGTGCGCCGTGGGTCCTCCTGAGCTGAACCTCTCACACACCTGTGGCTGATCTACTAATCAGGAGGACCACAGTATTTAAGCTACCTCCAGACCTGGATTCCACGCCGCAGTGTTGATCTTAGTTGGTTAGCTTCCTGAACCTTCTGCTATTGACTGAGTCCTGGTTTTTCCTAGGTCGAGACCAGATTCTAATATCTCTTTATCTGTGCCTCACAGGAATCCTGTCTCCTCGTGAAGCTCTGGATGAGCTTAACCTCCTGTCTCCTTGTGAAGCTCTGGATGAGCTTAACCTCCTGTCTCCTCGTGAAGCTCAGGAAGAGCACCCTCACTGGAACCCAGTCTCTGGGCGGCAGCTCTGGAGGAGCTGCATCTCAGGAAACCAGTCTCAAGCCTGAAGCTCTTGAAAAGCCTAACCAGCTAATCTGCCCTGGTGAGCCAACCCGAAGATTTCTATGTGGATGAAACCTGACAACTTCTCTGTGGAGTTTCCCTAGAGGTTCCCATGTGGATTTCCCCTGTTGTTCCCTACGGTGAGCTGGAAGCTCAGCCTGAAAGATCCTTCGTGTTTTCCCCTGTTGTTTTCTGTAGTATGCTGGAAGCTAAAACCCAGGACTGCCAGGCTAAGCCAAAGCTAGATGCTTAGCCTAACCTGAACTCAGCTACCAGCCATCTCCCTTTCCCTGCACAGACCCCAGTGAACCAGCCCCCTGTCAGAACTGTTCCGGTTTCATACTCATGTGTTTTGTGCTACAATAAACTCTTTTGGACTTTTTACCCTGTGTCTCCGTGTGTGTTCTGCATCTTGGGCTTTACTCCCAGAACCCATCATGACAGAACACTGCGGCCAAACACAAAGCCCAGCAGATCACCTCCGTCGTAGAGCTGAGAAACAGGACGCTCTGACTCCTGATCACACACAGTCCCTCCGTGAGTTAAAATGGCGCCAGTTCAACTTCCGGTTCCGATTTCGTCACTTCCGGAATTCCGTCCGTCACCTCCCAGTCAAGATAATAACCCTCCTTTCTGTTCTGAACTCATCCCGTCGCTTTCGTCACCCGGTCCTTCTCTGCCTGAGAGATTTTCCGGCAATCCAAGAAAGCTCAAAACATTTCTATTTCAGTGTCGGTTATTTTTTCAATTTTTCGAGTCAGATTTCCTGTATGATAGGGATAGGATAGCCTTTGTAATTTCTTTTCTGTCCGGTGAAGCCCTTGAATGGGCGGAGACCGGATCTAGATCTTCTCACTATGATTATGAAACGTTCATCCAGGAGTTTGAAAGGACTTTTAATCAGGTCACAAATAAATCCTGGTTTTCAAGGGGACTTTTGGAATCCAAACAGGGAAATAGATCAGTTGCCGAGTTTGCTTCCGAGTTCCAGGAAAAAGCAGCCGTTTCCGGGTGGAATGAGTCTGCACTTAAGACTGCATTTCTCCAAGCATTTAATGAACCGATCAGAAACGAACTAACCTTTTATGCTGAACCAGATAAACTTGAGGACCTCATTGAGCTTGCAGTCGGGTTAGATATTGGACTGCAAACTAGACCCAGAACCGCACAGCCTCAGTTTCTGGATTCCAGTTCCATTCCGCGCCAGGTAAGTTTCTCCTCACATATACTCGACCCTCACTTAGCTCCTTCTGTCAAAGGACTCAAATTAGGCCCACAAGTTAAAGTTCAAACTACTAGAGTCACCCGCCAGCTTGATCAGACACCTGCAACCGTCACCGTTGAATCTAGACCTGTTCTCTCGCCTAGTAATCTAGCTCCCCACATCCATGAGACAGATCTCTGGAACTTTTTCTATGGTGATAGGGAGGATATCTCCCCTCTCAAGCCACCACATCCAGCTCCACGCCAGTGTTATTTAGATCCTGAACCAGTTAGTTTTAATCCTGACCCCATGCCTGACTCTTTAGCCTCAGTTCCTGAAATTCATTCTGGTATTCATATTTTTCAACTGGTTAGTTTATCGACAGATTCAATCAATAAACCTGTTAGCCCTGCTTCTAAGACCCCCCAATGTAAGAGACGGCGTCGCCGTAAGCACGCTCTGAGCCGTCTAGAGACCCCTGAGTTAGCTTTGTGCCGTCCAGAGACCCCTGAGTTAGCCTTGTGCCGTCCAGAGACCCCTGAGTTAGCCTTGTGCCGTCCAGAGACCCCTGAGTTAGCCATGTGCCGTCCAGGGACCCCTGAGTTAGCCCTGAGCCGACCGGAGACCCCTGAGCATACACTTAAGAGGGCTTCAGAATGTGGAGTTTGTGAAGAAATTCCTCCAAGAGCCTTTCAACAGAGACCACTAATCGCCAAGAACCCTCCACCGACGCCTCAAGCCACCTCAGAGACTGAACTTGAACCTCCATGGGTGGCCCCTCCGTTGCCAGAGGTGGAACCGCAGTCGGTGGTCCCACCTGCTCCTGAGTCTGAACCGCAGTCGGTGGTGTCGCCTGTCCCTGAGGTGGATCCACAATCGGTGGCCTCACCAGTTCCTGAGGCTGAACCACAGTCGGTGGTGTCGCCTGCTCCTGAGACGGAACCACAGTCGGTGGTCCCGCATGTTCCTGTGGTGGAGCCATTGTCGGTGGTCTCCCCTGTTCCTGACCCAGAGCCGCAATCGGCGGGCTCTCCTGCTCCTGAGCCGCTATTGGAGGGCTCCTCAGCTCCAGAGCCGCTATCAGTGGGCTCTCCAGACCCGGAGCCGCAGTCGGCGGTCTCCTCTGAGCCTCCTCCAGAGCCGCAGTCGGCGGCTGTTTCTGAGACTGTTCCTGAGCTGCCGAGGAGGGGACGGGGTACCCCGTGGGGGTACCTGCTGAAGCTTGGGCGTCATCCTCCTGATAAGCTGCTTCGCCTCCGGCCCCGCAGCAGACCTCCAGAGCGTCAGCTTCGCCTTCGGCCTCGCGACAGACCTCCTGAGCGTCAGCTTCGCCTTCGGCCTCGCGGCGGACCCCCAGAGCGTCAGCTTCGCCTCCGGTCCCGTGGCAGACCCCCAGAGCGTCAGCTTTGCCTCCGGTCCCGTGGCAGACCCCCAGATTGTCAGCTTCGCCTCCGGTCCCGTGGCAGACCCCCGGAGCATCATCTTCATCGTCGACCCCGTGGCAGACCCCCAGAGTGTCAGCGTCGCCTTCGACCCCGCTGCCGGCCACCTAAGACTCTGCTCCGTTGCCGGATTGTAGGCCGGTCTCCTGAACTCCAACCGTGTCTCCGGCCCGGCGGTGGTCCCCCTAAGACGCTGCTCCACCATCATCTCAACGGTCGACCTCCTGAGCAGCAACTACGCCTCCGCCGTCGGCCCCACGGCAGGTCACCTGAGACTGTGTCCTGCAGCCGGCCCCACGGCAGGCCACCTGAGACTGTGTCCTGCAGCCGGCCCCACGGCAGGTCACCTGAGACTGTGTCCTGCAGCCGGCCCCACGGCAGGTCACCTGAGACTGTGTCCTGCAGCCGGCCCCACGGCAGGCCACCTGAGACTGTGTCCTGCAGCCGGCCCCACGGCAGGCCACCTGAGACTGTGTCCTGCAGCCGGCCCCACGGCAGGCCACCTGAGACTGTGTCCTGCAGCCGGCCCCACGGCAGGCCACCTGAGACTGTGTCCTGCAG